TTTTTTTTGGTACCGAGGATCAAACTTGGGACCTTGCACTTGCAAGGCAGGCGGTGGAACCACTGAGCTAAATCCCTGGCCCTCAGATTCCTTTCTTTCTTTCTTTTATTTTTTTTGGTACTGGGGATCGAACTTGGGTCCTTGCGCTTACAAGGCAGGGGGCGGAACCACTGAGCTAAATCCCCGGCCCAGATTCCTTTCTGATGTTAGACATTTGGTGGTTTCCACACACTGAGCAAGCAATCTGTCCTGTAGTAGACACCAGCCTGGTTTCCTTTAATTCCATTAAGTCCCAGCAGTAATCAAGTAGTCAAGTCCCAGAAGATTGACTGTCTCCTCAGATGCCAGCCAACATGTGCACTGACCAGTTAGTTGGCCGCTTATCAGGGTTCCCGTGACCCTTCCTTGGGTTGATGAATTTGTTCATGCAACTCAGGGAAACACGTTTCTATTACAGAAGATACAGGAAGGAATGCATAGGGCCAAGACTGGGGGAAGGGATGTGGAGATTGTACGCCCTGGCGGGTTGTACCACACTCCCGAGACTGTTGAGCTGTCAGCAGCTTTTACCTGCTATGGTGAGTTTTTATGGAGGATCTGTTACATAGGTGTGCTTAGCTCCTTGGCAACTGGTGTTCACTTTAACCTTCAGTTCCTTTCCCAGCCTCTGATCCTGCCTTGGTCTTCTCTGGCCCACCCCATCTTACAGCTGCCTCAGGGCTGGGACAGCAGACAGCTCCTTAGCAGGGGAGACACAACCCTTGTCAGATTTTTAGGAGTTCTGAGTCGGGAAGGCCAAATAGTAGGCAGTCAGCCCACTGTTTCCAAGAGTCCATCACCACAGATTGAACCACCTGTAGATTGAAAATATTCTGGAAAAATGTCTGCACTGGACATTGAAAGCTTTTTATTCCTCGTCCTTAGTTCCCGAACAATGCAGTGTAATAACTACTTATATGGTGTTTGCATTGTATTGGCTGTGATAGTAAGCTGGAGCTAATCATGCATGGAGATTGGGTGTGCTCGTGTGTGGTTATATCCAAACACTGCAGAGGTTACACATGCACATACATGATTATCTGGAAGTACTGCACCATTTTCCATGAGGGTGTGAGAGTCCAGAGACTTTGGTGTCTTAGGGGAAGGTGGTGGCTCTTGGACCAACGCCTTGAGGACATGAAGGGGGATGACTGTGTCCCATATCAGAGATGGTTACAAAGAGTGGTGGTGAGCACAAAACAGGAAGGAAAGAACAAGGTCGAAGCAAGTACAGTGGTTACTCTAAGGGGAACAGCTGAGTAAGTAAGGATATGAGGCCTGATTCAGACAGTCAGCATGTGTGTATTTGTAGATGTGATTAAAAAAAACTGTGAGCCCTACAGGAACACCTGCTTATTTCTTAACATCCATGCAACATTCATGGAAAATGTGCATTCATTTGCATTATAGTAGGAAATTGTTGTTTAATAGGAAAGAAAAATTATAGTTATTGAAATTAAAAGTGCTGGGGATGTGGCTCAGTGGAAGAACAGTCATCTAGTACATCTAAGGCCCTGAGTTCAATCCACAGCAATACAAACACACATGAAATTAGAAGTGTCAGGTCATATTCTCTTATCATAATCCTGAAGATAGGAGTCATTAAAATGTTTACCAAAATAGCTCAGCCCCTTAGAAGTCCTGAGGTTTGTGGGGAATGTGGGTGGGTGTGAAGTGGGCTTGGGAGTATAGCAGAACCTGGGGAGGACCTAGCATGGTAGCTACCTGGTGGAGGAAAGGGGAGGCCAGTGGGTAGGGGTGAAGGGTGTGGGGCAGGTGAGAGTGGTTCCCTTGGGGACTCGGTGTGGGGTGGGGACAGTCCTTGTGGGAAAGCAGGGTGTGGGGTGTGGGGTGTGGACGGGCAGGGACAGGTGGGGACAGGTCCCGTGGGAAAGCAGGGAGAAGCCAGCTGACTGAGGTATTGGTTGTGGGGCGGACGGAAGTGTGTGTGGACCCATGACCATACTGTGTCCTTGGAATGCAGCAGCGGGACAGGGTAGAGGACTAATTATTAATAAAGTGAGGGACCATGGCACCTCAGTTGTCCAAGGTAGAAGGTAAACTGGAGGACTCAACTGTCCCTGGAGCAGAACTGCATTCACCTGCTGATGTCTGGTCTCAGGCCACTCTGCTCCAGGGCCCAATTGAGCAGTGGCAAGACTGGGTGGCCTTGAATGTAGCCCACCACAGAAAAAGCTGCCACCTCTGAAGATAGGGGCAGATGCAGTCAGAACAGTGGGTCCTGGGTACCAGATATCAGGCTTTGTAGTGTGGTGCCCTGGCGGGTGACATGGTGGACATGAGCACCATGGCTGTTTACAGATCACTCAGGTCCCAGTGAGGCCTGGGGGGTGGGCATGGGTATAGGCTACAGGCCTGGCTCCAAGTGTCTCGTGCCCTGGGCTGGAAGGAATTAGAGCTTGAGTGTGTCATCCCTGGTCATTGGAGAGATGGGCAGGAACAAGATCGTGACAGGTAGGTGGGGGTGAGTTCTGGGGGTCTGCGCCAGAACTCAGGCTCGGAGAACTGTGTCACAGGTTCACTGGTCTGCAGGTGAGCTGAGAATGAGGAGGGAAGGAAGCCATGTCTGTGGGGAGTGCAGAGGGTGCTGTGGAGTCCTGGGTGCCTGGCCTGAGTGGGGGTGAGAGTGTCGATTGGGAAGTGTCATGGTGTGGTGGTCTGAAGTTGGAGTGAAGAGTGCCCCATGCGCTGTAATGTCCACCACCAGGCTCCAAGGAGCCAGACTGAGTCCATGGGCATTTAAAAGTCTGCACAGTGCCTTCCACACTTACTGCACAGCTGCTTACATGACACGGTGCTGGCCCCGAGTCAGGGAAGCAACAGCTTACAGAGCAACTCCAGTCGGAAGCTCTGGCTGAGTCCAGGTCCCTGGCAGCAAGGGGCAGTATGTCAGGTGCCCAGTGTCGGCAGCAGTGTGCTGGGACTTGCAGAGTGGGCGGTGCTGGCACCGGGTACTTATCAGCTGTAACAGCAGTTCTTTTTACAGTCTTTTGTCATTGAGGCTTTTAAAGAAATACCTATTTTCACCTTAGAGAGCAACTGTGTGAATGTGAGTTTGTTTTTTTCCGGGTTTTTCGACACGGGTCTCCGTGTGCAGTTCAGGCTGGCCTTGCATGTGTGAAGTAACTCCTGAGTGCGTGGATTAGAGCTGTGCATCCCTGCACCTGGCTGAGTGTAAACAAGCTGAGTGATAGTTGTGCTTCTTCTGCACCTTTTCCAGGGGTACGACACACCACTGCATTTTGCTTGTAAGTTTGGGAATGTGGAAGTTGTCAATGTGCTTTCTTCACACCCTTTGATTGAGAAAAAAACAAGGAATAAATATAACAAAACACCTGAAGAGGTAAGTACACTAATTATTGAAATGTGATTACTATTTAGCATTAGAAACAAAAATATGCAAATGTGTAGCCTATGTTCATAGGTACAGTGAGGTTAGCACTGGTTCTATTTGAGTTGTGCTGCCTGTGGCACATTTCAGAACCCTGACCACCAGGCAAGATATGAAGACAGCGTCTGTCTAGCTGGGAGGGAGGGAGCTGACCCTGTTTACTGATTTCATTTTCCTGAAACTGGTGGTCAGTTGTTCTGATCAGTTCAGTCTTTCATTTTCTCTCCCTGAACACCTCAGCTGACCAGGTTCAGAACAGAGGTAGTGATGGTGGTGAGGATTCTCAACCACAGCTGTTGTGTTCAACTTAGTATACACCAGGCACTGTGCTAAGCCCCTTGTCCCGACTCTCACATGACCCATCAGTCCTGTGAAGAAAGCCTCTTCATGATCCTTAGCAGTTAGCACTTGAGCAACCTGTGACGTGGGGGAGAGAACTGAACACAGGATAAGAGAAAGACTAGTTTGAGGACCAGGCACTGTACTTGTTACATGACCTGAACCTAGCAGCCTTCAGAATTGAAACCTGCAGGGACTGTGGATGCCCGGCAAGTTCCAACACCTCCAGCCCAACTTGCGATAGGTTTTTTGGGGGTGTTTTTTTGGTACTGGGGTTTAAACTTGGGTCCTTCCGCTTGCGAAGCAGGCAGCGGAACCACTGAGCTAAATCCCTGGCCCAACAATAGTTCTAAGCATGTGAGCTCCAGTCAGTTACAATTTTAAAACGGTCCGAACTGTGTTTCTTTTATGGGCTGATAATTTTGTGATTCCATTCTTTCCTTTTATTTGAACGTCACTGGTTTTCTATTTCTAACAAAAATGTATTGCTCTCATTCTTCAACAGCTCAGAAAGTTGATTCCTGTGGTTGCAGACCACAAACAGCATTTGTGTTACACATTAGGAGGTGTAGCTCAACCTAGATGTACAGTAGCAGAAATTTCTACACGAAGAACAGGCTCAGGCACTGAAACTTGCACATGCACTGGCCTTGTCTGCATTTGGTAATGCACTTTGAAGTTTGCTTTCCTTGTAGATGATCGGAGAGTGTAGAGTTCCACAAAGGAAAACATGAAATTCACCGTTAACCCTAGAGTCTCTTCTCCTGCCAGCCGCTTAGCCCTTTACAGAAGCAACTTTCAGGACATTCTGTGCTGTATGGGCACATGGTTTGTTTTTTAAATATTTTTATTAGTACACGTTTGCTGTACAGAGTGATCACATTCCTCTTGGGGAGTTGGCACATGTACATGACACATCTCAACCCTTTTTACTTCCCTCTTCCCTTCCCTGTCCCTGCATCCCTAGGTCCCTTTCTCATTAAAGAACACATAGTTCTTTTGTTTTTTCGTTTTGGGACCGGGGATTGAACTCGGGACCTTGTGCTTTTGAGGCAGGTGCCGGAATCACTGAGCTAAATCTCTGACCCAAGAACACACAGTTGGAGTGTGAGCTTTCAGAAATCATTAGCACTAAGATTCTGTTTTGTTGACTTTAAAACTTGCTTTTAAAAAATCATTTATAAAGAAGCATTGCAGAGCTAGGGGTGCAGCTGAGTGGTAGACTGCTTGCCTAGCATGTGTAAGGCCCTGGGTTTAGTCCCCAGAACCACAAGGAAAAGTTACAATAAGCCGGGGGTGGTGGCACATGCCTATAATCCCAGCCCTCAGGAGGCTGAGGCAGGAGGATTACCATGAGCTTGAGGCCAGCCTGAACTACGGAGTGAGACCTTGTCTCAACAACAGCAACAAAAAGCAATAAAATAAGGTTTAGGGTTCTCACATACACTGTTTTCTTTAAATAGGTGATTTGTGAAAGAAACAAAAATAAACCTGTAGAACTAAAAGAGAGGATCAGAGAATATTTACAGGGTGAGTTGGAGAATCCCCAAGCCTCTGCCGCGGGTTAGCTTCAGGGCTCATGGGCATGGGCTGGGAGGAGGGGTGCGCACTGTTAACTACTAAGTAAGCTCCACTGTGTGCTAGTCTGGTCCCCTCCTGCTTCAGTCTTCCAGCTTCCTAAGGTGTCTGTGCTGCCTTTCCCTCCACCCCCTGTAGGGATTAAAGGTACCAGGGATTAAATCCAGGGCCTGTGCACTGAGCTACATCCCTGGCCTCCCAAGTTCCAAGATTACAGTCGTGCACCACCATACTTGACTCCTTTCCATTTCTTTTAGTGGAAGAGGAAGAGGGCTCGCTGATTTAAGTGAGTCCTGGCCCAAACATGCCTTGGCTCTGATCCATTCCAGCAGAGTGCACATGACCACCTGGTTCCTCCACCATTTCTCCCATCGCTCAGCAGTCGTAGATACAGCCAGGGAGCAGGAACCTGCTGCTGACCCATCTCTCTCCCCCAGGTCACTACTACGTGCCGCTTCTGAGAGCAGACAATACCTCCTCGCCTGTCATTGGGGAGCTGTGGTCCTCAGCCCAGACGGCCGAGGCCTTGCCTGCTGGCCGCTGTGGAGCCAACCCCCGGGACCCTGTGCAGACCGTGAGGGCCTTTGCGGGGCCCCTGAGTCCAGCCAAGGTGAGCTCGGGACCTTGTCACCCACCGTCGTTGTCCCCACGTGGCTGTGTCTAGGGCTCTGTGCTTGCTCTTGGAGACTTAAGTCCTGTGGCCCCGAAATTGGTGGTGCCAAGGGGTGGTGCTGAGGCGGAGAGGTGATGCTGTGTTGCTTGTGTGTGGCTGGGGTGGGTGTGCACAGGCTTCGCCTCACCTCTGCCCTGCATGCCTGTCCTGCCACACTGTGTGTCAGCCTGGTGAGGTCACTTCTGGACCCAGCTCCCCATGCCTGCAGCACCCCCTTCCCAGACACTTGGCTCCTGGCATTGGCTGCCTTCCCTGGAGGCTCTGCTTTGTCCCCTGGCCTTGCCTTTGGGTATGCTCATCCTTGGAGTTCAAGTGGGTCCCTAAGTGGGACCAAGTGGGTGGAGGAGCTGGGTCAAAGGTTTTGCTTGTTTTTGTGTCAGGTTGACAACTGACAGTTCCTTCTGCAGAGAACTGTTTCATACACTGACCAGTGTAATCCCTTGGTAGACACTTTCAGAATAAGCAAGGCACAGTGGGATACATCTATCGCTGCTTGGGAGGGTGAGGCAGGAGGATCTCAGGTGTGAGGTCAGCCTGGGCAACTTGTGAGACCTTGTCTTAAAACCCAGTCTCAAAAAATAGTTTTTTCTAAATGATCAGTTACTTACAACTATTAAAATGGCTGTAAAATGAGAAGGGACAATTAAAATTAGAGAAGCTGCGTTCAGCATGAAACTTGAGTGGCTCAAGAGAAAGCAACATGTATTTTCTTGTGTGATGGAAAGAATGGTGTGTGCGCCACTGGGGTGGCAGCTCAGTGATGCTTGCTGGCTGTCCTTAGGGTGAGGCCCTTGTTGGGACCCCCGCAGTGCAGACCAGTGCTGAGTGAGGCCCTTGTGCCGGCTCTAAGTGCAGCCCCGTTGGGCCCCAAGGCCCTGGGATCATGGGGTCAGCGTCGGTGCTGCAGCACCGGAGGCTGAGCATCCTGGGTGAGCTGCACCAGCCACGCAGGTCTCAACACTTTTTTTCTTCATAGGCAGAAGATTTTCGAAAACTCTGGAAAACTCCGCCTCGAGAGAAAGCAGGCTTCTTCCACAGTGTCAGGAAGTCTGACCCAGAAAGAGGCATTGAGAGAGTTGGAAGGTATGGGGAGGCTGAGTTGTGTGCACCGTCGTTTGCAGTGTGGTTATGTGTTGAGACTGATGATGATGAATGTAATTACAACTGCTTCAACATACGTCTCCCAGAGGGCCGGGGATTTAGCTCAGTGGTACCATACCTGCCTTGCAAGAGTTCCATCTCTGGCACCAAAAAAAATGTCTCCCAGAAAGGGTTTTCTGGGACATTGTAGAGCCTTTCTGCTAAGGTCAAATTACTTACAAATGTGGTATACATTCCAATTTACTTTGTACAATGTTAAGGTAAAACAGTCCCTTCCCACTCCTCAGAGCAGTTCTCAGGGATCTTAATATTTTATAGAAGGTACTATATGGACAGTGTTTCCTTGGGAAAAAAGAAAAGAATAAAATACCCCTCTGTTTAACACAGAAAGCAGGGGTGTGGCTAGAAACAAGTAGAAAAAGTCCCCAAAGAAATCCCAAACTACAAAGTTAAAATATGGTATAATCAAACAAAACTTCATCAGATTGTTTAGAACCTTTCCTCAAAATAAGTGTCCGGTCTGAGGCTTATAAGCTTAACCCTGCAAAGGCCTTCTGGATTCCTGGTTCCTGGCCACACGCGTGCGTTGGTCAATTTGACCACATGGCCCCACCCAGGGAGGCTGGTGAGGCTGAGGGCACTGGCTCCTCGCTGGGTGGGTGGGATTCGATGCATCCTTGAATAGCTCCTCCAGGGATTCTGCTGGGTCTCACCAGAGAGGCAAGGAAATACAGAGTTCAGTTGGCCCCGGGCTGAGTAGACCCAGTAGTGTATACCCAAGATTGTGCACATGGCTGCAGCACTCGGCGCGGAGAGTCGCTGTCGCTTTGCAGTCAGATTTGTGGGTGTTCTTCTATCTTCTGTCTGTTACTTGTGTTTATTCCTTACAGGGAGCTCGCTCATGAGCTGAAGATTCCCTGGGCTGAGTACTGGGAATTTCTGGACTGCTTTGTGGATCTGTCTTCTCAGGAGGGGCTGCAAAGACTAGAAGAGCATCTTGCTCAACAGGAAATGGACAAAAAGGCTCAACAGGAAACAGGAGAAAATGAAGCCTGCCGCCGAGAGAAAGCCTTTGCCTCTGGTGAGCGAATGTGGTCCAAGGTGGCCCTGGCCCCTCAGGAATCATTCATCTGTGACCTTTTTCTCTTCTCTACCTTTTGTGTTTTTATTGCAAAAATGGGCAACTTTCCCTCAGGGTGATGTCAGGAGGACTGTGTGTGTGTGTGTGTGTCCGTGTCCGTGTCCATGTCCGTGTCCGTGTGTGTGAGAGTGTGTACAGGTGTCTGAAAGGCGTAGCATTGTGAGGAACAGTGTTGCTACTTCTGGCTTCATCTCCTTTCCCAAAGTTAGGTGAGGTTCATTCTGTGCTGTTTTTCTAAAACATGTTAAGAACTGTAGTATTTGACATCTTGTGCTTCTATGCATGTTTTCTGGACATTCTTTGTGTTTGAATACATTGTGTGCTGTCAGGAATAGGACAGGGGACGTGTTCCAGCACGTGGGGTGTTCATTAGACCTCAGTCTGCAGAGACCCTCCAAGCACAAAAAGATGCTGGAGTGATTGGAAGAAGTTAATCTTTGTAAAGCTTAGCAGTAACTCACAACAGTAACAACAGCATTAGAAAAGGAAATCCGGTCTGGGGGTAGCTCAGTGGTAGAGCATGCTTAGCGTGTATGAGGTCCTGGAGTGTGGGGGCACAGCGTGTGGGGGTCTATAAACAACCTTTAAATATTAGTATGAAAAAGCCAGCAGTGCCCAGAAGTCAAATGGGCAAAGGAGAAGAAATTTCCCGAAGAAATAGAAGCAGGCACCTCGCTCCTCATCACAAACACAGTGTGGTGTGGGCGCTGCTGTGCGCTGTGCAGTCTGGGGGACGGTGGTCAGCCTGGCCCGGAGTCTGCAGGGCGCAGAGGGCTAGGGCCTAGGGGCTAGGGGCGCTGGGGGCTCCCAAGGCAGCACAGCTCCTGCTCCAGCCGCAGTGGGCTGGCTTGGTGAACTGAACTGTTCTCACACAAAATTTAAAATCCTGCTTTCAGAGAGTAATGAGTAATGTGAAAAAAGGCTTACAATTAATGGGAGAAACAAACAAGAAAACTACATAATTTATCATAAGTGTATTTGCACGATAATTATTTGCATAAGAGTATATTAATTTAAGAAAGGCATGGTCGTGCACGGCTGTAATCCCAGTACTTGGAGGCTGAGACAGGAGGATTGCTGCAAGTTTGAGGCCATCTTAGGCTACATCGTGAGTGCAAGGCCAGCCTGAGCTACACAGGGAGACCCTGTCTCAAAAAAAAAAAAAGACTGATTTCCTGAGAACCGGTTGCCACTGTTCAAGCAAATAGCTGCTGTCTTGACAAGAAAACAACCTTGGCGTTGAGTAGGGGTGGTGCTGCTCCCCAGTGACTTCCTCATGGAATTGGGAGAGCCCAACAGATTAGAGAGCTGGTGGCCCAGGCTGCCCCAGCCCTCCTCTTCCTCTCTCCTGCCTTGGGGAAAGAGCGGCCTGGAAGCTTTGTTTCTGTTCATGAGGCCATGCACCCTCTCCCAGGAGGACTTGGTACTTTCCGGCATGCATGGCGGGGCTCACAGTGTGTCTGCTTTGTCACTCATAGGCCATGAGCAGCAGTGCTGCAACTCTGTTTCCGTGGGTGCGTTTCTAGATGGACATGGTGATGTGAGCCTGGAAGAAATGAAAGATCGGCAGAACGCAGCACAGAACCACAGCCAGCCTGCAGCTGATGCTTCCAGGAACCTGGAGCCCAAGGCTAAGGCAGACTGCACAGCAGCCTCGGGCCTGTGCCGCACCGACCCGAATGGGCTCTGCTGTCCGAGTCCCAGCCAGGCCCTGTGTGGGAGACCAGAGGCCCCTGGAACAGAGCAGGCCCTTCTGTCACGTGTCTCCAGTTTGATGATTGAGTTCGATAAACTGAATTTGCAAAATGAAGTTAGTGGCCTTTCCAAGACACCAAATACAGATAAGAAAACTAAAGATAAGAGAAAGAACACAGTAGAAAACGACTTGTTGGCACCTGCTCCTGCTGCAGACAAACCTGGAAATAACCAAACAGGGGTAGAAAATGACATGTCAGGTGTGCTGGCTACAATGTCCTTGGATTCCAAGTCCCAGGCTGTGCCAGGTCCTGTGACCAACCCCACCACCAGGCTCTTCCTTTGTGGGTAAGCGAGGGACCCCATGTGCAGTTCGGAGGCTCCTGTTTTCCCACAGCATTTGGGAAGCTTGAGTAGGGGGGGTCTCCAGCCCGGCAGGGCTCATCCTGGTGTCAGCTGTCACACACCAGGAAGGAGAAGCCTGCACACTGTTTGGTCAGGCCTAGGAATGTGGTTTATTTTAAGAGGGAAGCACATGCAGCAGGGTAGACAAAGCTGCAGCAGGGACCTGGCTGTGTCCTGGAGGTGACCCTGCCCTCCTGGTGCTCTGACCACAGCCCTCCAGCTGGTCCCTGAGCCTCAGGATGGTTTGTTGGTTTCTCCACTCAGGCAGATCGATTCTCAAACAGTACTGTGCGCTTTGCTGGGTGCTTGAGTTTAAGGCGCAGCGAGATATGCTGGCCATGCTGGCACACACCTGGAGTCCTAGCACTTGGGAGGGAGGCCAAGGCAGGAAGCCCACACATTTGAGGCCAGCCTCGACCTCAGAATACATGAAAATAAGAATGCAATGATGTTTTGAAAGTGTTTGTTCTACTTATTTATTTTTAAAATTTTTTTATTATTGATACTGGGAATTGAACTCAGGACCTTGCACTTAGGAGGCTGGCGCTGCACCACTGAGCTAAATCCCTGGCGTTTCTGTCTTTTCTTGTGTCCTTTTGCTGTGCTTTCTAGGGGGGATCCTTGCAAGCTGGACCAGGACGTCTTAGCTGCTCTGCAGGGTGCAGATGTCGACCCTCATCGGTATCCGGCAGTGTACCAGTGGAGGAATGCTGTCCTGTGCTACTCGCCCACAGACAGGCGGAGGTGCGGGGCAGCGGGAGCCATCCGAGTGGGGTCTGGAGGGCTGGGTCCCCCATGGGTGCCCTGTCACACAGATGTCCCTTAGCTAGGCTGGTGTGTGCTGCCTCCCCAGCAGTGACTGGGTTCCCATGCACAGGACAGGTTTCCAGCGGGGCAGGCCCACGGCAGGCTTGGTGCTGGGAGCCAGTCGTGCAGGGGCAGCAGCCAGGCGCAAGGCCAGCGTAGTGTGGGTTTGTGTGGCAGATCCCCGGGATCCAGGTGTGGAAGTATCTCCTCTGCACTGTGGCAGCCCCTGTCCAGCTGGGTCTGTCCTGAGTTCATGCCCATCGCTGGGCTTCTGCTGCTCTCCTCGCATGGCCCGAATGTGCTGAGAGGTCTTTCTCTGTCTCCCCAGTTGGCCAAGCCCGGCACTGAAAGGAAAGCTCAAGTGTCAGCTGCCGGACCTCGGCTGTCCCCACAGTGGCAGCCCAGGGCGAAGCGGTCGGGATGGCAGCAGCCCCGGGAGGCCTGGCCATGGCCCTCACTCCCCTGGCCTGGGCAGCCCCGGGCGCTACAGCCCTGCACATGGGCGCCTTCTGCGCCGGACAGCCATCCCCAGCACCGAGCTCACGGCCTTGTAGGCAGCAGTCGTTCTCTTCACTTTCAGAGGAAGAGGGTGATGTGCTTACTAGGAAGAGTTCACAAAGGAGCATATTCTGAGTAACACACATTCTGCACTTGGAAGGTACAGGGATTTTAGAAATGCCAATGTGAAAATCAGTGATGTCGTGGAAGAAGCTGTCAACAGCCACCTGAAATACAGATCTTGTGTACTGTCTGTGTGGCACTGAGGACTTCACCTGCAGTGCCCCACTGACCACTCAGGATGAATGTGAGGCTGGGCTGTATTTGGCCCCCTTCTCCTGGAGCAGCTTCCTATTGCATGATGACGGCTTCCCACCTGTCGGTGGAAGGGGACAGATGAGCTTGACCATTGAAGGCTGGCAGCAGGGTTGGAAACTTCACTGGCCAGAAGCTGGGTGTGGTGGTACGTGCCTGTAATCCCAGCACTTGGGAGGCTGAGGCAGGAGGATCACTGATCACTGCGATTTCAAGGCCAGCCTGCACTTCAAAGTGAGACCCTGTCTTAAAAAAAAAAGAGAGATTCCTCTCAGGGTTGGAAGTCAAGTAGCTACAGGGAACCCAGCAGCAATCACTAACAGGTGTTCTCATTTCCACCTGAATATAAAGGACCTTTGAGCCCAGCTTGGTGGTGCACACCTGTAATCCCAGAACTCAGAGGCTGGGGCAGCAGGATCACCATGAGTTCGAGGCCAGCCTGGACTGCATAGTGAGACCTTATTGCAAAAACCAAAAAAAACAGCATTGTGCCACTGCTCAGAGCCAGAGTTGTCATTTCTGTCCCTTTAGGGTCTCTGGATGCAAAGTATGGTTGGGGGTGGGGGGTATTGTCACCATGTGCCTGCTGCCCTGTTCCCTGGGGGAAATGCCTGGGGTCTGGCATCTGGACCTGGGATCTGGTCCAGAACAAGTTCTATATCCCGCCTCAACCAGCTTCAGTGCCTTCTGTAAAGCAGTTCGTTTTCCAGGATTTACTGTTTGAGAATATACAATGATACTAAGGAGGTGTAAGATTTCTTCTTTCATAAAAATTCTGAATTGAAACATGCTTTTTAAAAAAGCTTATTTCTTATGATAAACAGGTCAAACATATTGGAACTGAGATTTCATTTTTAAAACTCAAGTTTGTAGGTCGGGGATTTAGCTCAGTGGCACTGCACCTCCCTTGCAAGTGCAAGGTCCTGAGTTTGATCCCCGGTACCAAAAAAAAAAAACAAACCTCAAGTTTGTTACATGAGTTTTCATATGCTGTGTAGCAGACGAGATCTGAATATAAGACAAATAGTTCAGTCAGTCTGAGAACTGCATTTTGAAAAGCATCTTTGTTCTCAGAACATGAAGATTATGCTCAGTGATGATCTCTTTAAAGTCTTACTACAGCACCTTGTGTGGTTGTAAATGTTTCAAATAGAAATTAAAATATTGTTTTTGTCTTGGTTTTGTAGATGCTTGTTCTGTGAAGTTTTAGGCCCCTTTTGTGAGACAAGCAATATGTACTCCCCTAAAACACTGTGTGTCACTTGGGTGATGTGTCCTTTCAAAACCACTTCATGGAATAAATTATTTTTACACCACATTTTCACAAAGCACTCTTGCTGTGTCTGGGTAAAAGGCCCTTTTTAGTAAACCCTATCAGTGTTTTGATGAGCTAGTATTACGTTAACCTGACAGTGGTTTATTTGCTGTTTGTGGAGACAGTGTCACTGCTGGGCTCCAGCGATTCCCACCTAGCCCTGAGTGCTGGGATTGCAGGTGCTGCACTACACCCAGCTTATTGGCTGCTGTTTTTGCCCCTCTGTTCCCTTACACAGTTGTGGAAAACTTTTGGTGTCAAATAAACTAGTGCACACTTTGCAGCCGCCCTGGGCAGTGGGAGGCCTTTCTGTGGGGGACGGTGTGTGAGCATGTGTTTCTAAGAGGTGGTGTCTTGTCAAGTGCCCCAAATCCCTACCTTCTGTTTGGGGGAGACATCCAGGGTGCTGTTGATTGCTGTGCCCACCACACTAGCAGAGAACACACTCAGAACCCTTCATGGCTGTGGCAGAGGTGAGGTGACGGTCAGGGAAGTGTCGGCCTTTTCTGTTGAGGTGACCTTGCCCTGTCCAAGCCACATCTCTCTGGCTTATGGGTCATACCACGTTCCCTTTCCCGCTGTCACAGGGGGAAGTATTTTGGGATAAACAGCGTACTGGTCATAGGGAGCCAGCTGCCACTTAGTGTGGATGTCAACCCCAACCTGTTCTGTCCAGGTCCCCTCACGTTAGGTGGTTTTCCTGAGGTTACCGATGCTCCTGAGTCTGTCACTCACTGTCACCAGAGACACAGCTCCCTCCCAGCTTTGCAGACAGGGACAGTTTCTGTCACTGGGCCCCTCTGCCTGGAGCCGTCCAGCCTGCCTGGTGAGGGTTTGCTGGGGGCTGGGCTGCCCTAGGGTCATCCTTGTCACCAAGTCAGGGGTGTCCACCACATGGCTCTGAGACAGGGGTGAGGCTGTTGGAGGAAGATCCATGGAGAACAGGATTTTCTAACAAATGGCGGAGAATTTGCTGGGAACCTACATTAGCAAAGGATTCAGTTTCATACTCAAAAAAATACAAGTTAGAGTTGCCCTGTGCCCTGAGGACAGAATGAGTCTAACGTTTCCAGAATCTGAAAGCCCAACTCCGTACCCTTGACTCCGATAGCACAATCTTTGAGCTTCCTGTTTTTGCTTACAGAAGCAATGGTTTCTTGTGATCCATCGATTTAACAAATAACTCTGGCATCCTGGGCCAGTGTACCCAGACCCAGACCCACTCTTGACCACTGCTGTGGTTTAACATCACCTCTATTCACTGCGACAGGGACAGATGGGAGGAACCTGGTGACTGCAGAGACCCAACTGACCCCACCCACAGGCTGCTCACTGCCATCGAGGGGCACCACACCTCCCAAGGCAGAAGATCCCGTTCCTTGCGAGAGGCGCCAGGGCCCCTCAGCTACGGCTTTTCCCTGAAGCATCGTGGGCTTCCCACTGAAGTCAGGTGCTGAGGCCATGACTTGCAGGGGGCCCTGGGGCACTGAGCATAGGTGCGTTGACAGCTGTCACCCACAGGGCTGCGCGGGAGGCCAGCCAGTCAGCCCCTCACTTGTCCGCCTCTAGTAGGTAGTGCCTTGTAGCGCTATCTCCAGGCAACCCTGGGAGACACAAGGTACTGTGACACAGCTGCCCTCTCAGCACAGGCTTCCTGTTTTCTATGAAACAAGAAGTCACAATACTTTACAAACACCAATAAAATTTTATTATGTAGTTATTTCCAAAGATGACAGGGAAAAGAATCAGATACCCCAATTCATTGTATTGACTGCAGAAAGTGTTCATAACCACTTCATAGAAATTAGTTTTTCCTAAGTTGCACAATATTTTGGGAGAAACATATATGAATATTTTATCCCATATGGCCACAGGATTTACAGCCACCATGGCAAAGCTGGAGCCGCCTGTCGGGTATTGTACAACCCCAAGAAGACACCAGCTGTCACCTGCCAGGCCTCCCGCACACCCTGTCCTCCACACAGCCCCCAGTTCTCTGCAGCAGGGTCAGGTCTCTAGCTCATGTCAGAAACGTCTTCAAGCCAAAAACCCAGGAGTGCAAACTCTTTAATTGACAAATATTTAAATGACAGCAGGTCTCCAAACAGGAGAAGAGTATGAGTGGGCAGGCCGTGAACAAAATGCTGGTCGTCCTGGCTCAGTGCCATGGCAGAACCCCAGGATGGCAGCCATGCACGTGGAGGACGTGCGCAGCCGCGAGCCCCACAGTCACCCCACAGGCCGCAGGTGTCCTGTAGGCAGAGCAGGCAGGGCAGCTTGCAGAGGAGCCAGGTTGTGTGAGCGACCGATTCCTCCAGCCTGGGCACAGATGAGCTCTGGGCACATCCCCTTGCGGATCTGAAACAGTTTTCCTTCCCACCCAGCACTGGCCTCTAGTCCCGCTTGAAGGCAGAGCACAGCCAGGACAGGCAGACGAGGAAGATAGTGTCGCAGCAGCCTCAGGACCGGGTGATCATGTTAGGCGGCATGAAGCCTGTGTCCCCCAGGGTCCTAAGTGCGACCCGGCCACTGGGTCGGATGACCAGGTGGGTGATGCTGCCATTGTTCAGGGACAAACGGAGCCAGCCTTCCGGAGGGAACTGCAGTGCTCTGGGGAGAGAGGAACAGCTGGAGCTCAAATGAGGCAGAGCCCCATGGGGAGGGGTCCCTTGGGCCAGCTGAGAGACCTCCCTTGCTGCGACACAGGCCCCAGCAACTTGAGCTGTGTGCAAGTCAGAAACACAGTGGTTTCTTCAAGAGCACAGGATTTAATTTCTGCTTTTCCAGCACGACAAAAGGGGACAGATACAGGGTGCGTTCAATGTGGGGGGGTGGGCACAATGGGGATGAAGCCCAGGGCCCCATGCATGCTAGGCAAGCACTCCGCCACTGAGCTGTACCCCCAGACCATAAATATTTCTTTCTTTATTGAGGCAGGGTCTAAGTTGCCCAGACTGGCCTGTGATCCTCCTGCCTCAACTTTCAGAGTAATGGATCATGGGCATGCATCATTGTCCCTGGCACTGGCTTTGTTTCAGCCTTTTATTTAACAGGGAAGGCAGCTCTAAGTGCACGTTCCTGGTGACTCCTGGTGCCTTGTCCGTATTACTGTCACCGCCTAGTGACTGTTATGGGACATGTGACACCGTCAACATCACAGATTGCCCAGGTCGCTGTCCACAGGCACAGAGGAACACATCAGGAGCCATGGCAGAGCGGATGAGCCCAGCCACACTGGAAGCATCTGCCCCTGCTGGTGGTACGAGCCAAGCAGCTGCGCATGAGGCGCAGCACATAGGGTGCAGGCACCTGTGCCTGGTCTGGAGCCACCAGGCCGGCCAGAAACAGCTCCTCACAGCCTGCAGCCCTGAGGCTGCCGCTCCTCTATGAAAGGTTCCTGTCCATCCCTGGGCATTCATAGCCACACACACAAGCCAGAGGGGATGGCCCCACTGGCCAGGGCTGCTCTGTCACCCCTGACCTGTCGTATGAGGGAGTAAGAACCCTTGGCAACAGAAGCTAGACCAGCATTTTCTGACGGCTCTAGGAGAGGCACAGTCCCACACGAAGTGGAACTCCTCACCCTTTGCCAAATCACCCAGAGGGGACACCCAAGTATCCAGTGACACCCACGTGACCTACAGTCACACATCCCACCCAGACCCTAACAGCTGTTGGTACCAGCCTGAGGGGAAGTGGACTCGTGCACAGCTCCCAGCCGTTTACCACTCACAAGGGGAAACAGGCATGGCCCACAGCTCCCCACCGGGGCAGGAACTGCAGCTCACGCCCAGCAGACCCACAGCACAGGCCTTTATCTGTCTGTGTCACTCCCCACGCATCGGAGAACTCCCTCTGACACAGCCCATGCATAACCGACTAGGGTCCTGCCTAAGACCAGGGGCTCCCAGGACCACTCAATCCCCGAAGGTGGCAGTGGGGGACCTGTGCATGGGACGCTGGCTCTGCCCCTGGCCTCGCTCCGCACTCCATGCCGCCCCGGGTGTCCACCTGCACACGATGTAGCGGATGACGTTGGCATGGCATATGAAGATCTCATAGCTGTCCTCCTCCTGCTCAGTGTCAGCCCGGTGGATGTAGTTCCGGAAGGCAGCCTCAATCCTCGCTCCATCTTCGTAATACTGCTGAGGGCAGAGCAAGGAAGCAGCAGCCCATTAGCAACTGCAGTCATGCTGCAAGGTGGCAAACCTCCCCGCCAGGTGGCCCAGGGGCGGCTTTTACCACAGCCTCGGGCTTCCAGTGTGACACGGGCGGGTCGGGCTCGATGGGGGCGCCTTCCCGCAGCAGGTCAGTGCTGACTCTGGAGACATCTACAGGGAACAGGGGGCTCACAGTGCTGCACTCAGCTGGCATGGTTAGCAGTCGGCAGGGAACAGGGCCCGCACAGCACTCACCTGGCAGGTGCTTGCTGATGATGTCCGTGGTCTCCACAGCGCGGGTCATGGAGGAATGGATGATTTTGTTAAACTTCAACCCCAGGCTGGCAAGGCGGAGGCCAGTGAGTTCTGCCTGCTCCCGACCTTGAAGGGGAAACACCTAAGAAACTCAAGGACCTAGACACCCTCACTCCCTGCAAACAGTGGCCCCACATGGCACCAAGCTCCTATGAGGGCCCTGCCTCAGGCCTGGGTGAGAAGCAAGAGCAGTGGATGGCCTAGCTGTGCTCCTCCCTGCACGGAGGATGCAGCTACTCAATGACCAACCTGCCTATTGCCAGAGTTGGGCAGCTGTGTAATCTTTGTCACGCTACACTCAGCTATTTCCATATTAAGCTGCAGTCCAGCGTGGCTTCTGGCCCTGTGACCTCACAGATGCCACTGCACACAGATGGGACCTCAGTGCTCCTGAGCAGGCTGATGTGGCCCCAGTGCCTCTTCTCAAATGTATTTTGCACCTGGCTGAAAATGCCCTGAAAGGCTGCTTCTGCCAGATGCAGCCACCTCCATACTGGGCCCTTTGTGCATAGGAGCCAGACAGTGCCCTCAGGGGAGGCGCATGTTCTGTGGAGAACAGGCCTGGAAGCCCCTTCCTACCATTGAACACATGGAGAATGGGAAATAGCCACTGTTTAAAATATAAACACACCCAGTTGTGATGGCTGCACCTGGAGCCCCAGCTGCATGGAAGGCTGAGGCAGGAAGACTGCCTAAGCCCAGGAGTTCAGGGCCAGCCTGGACAACACAGCGAGACCATTCTCTAAAAACACAAAATGTAACACAGCTCACCCTGCAATCCTTTTTCCAGGAACTTCTCCTGCATCAACGTGGCACAAGGCTGAGATAAACCAGCCTCCATGACAGTGAGAAGTCACAAGGACCCTCACCTCCACTGGCATACACACCAGAGCAGTGACCTGCACCATGATGTGGATGTTCGTCAGGCAGATTCGTCAGTGCTGAACAGAAGGGTCTGGGGCCAGGTGTGCAGGCCCACAGACAGAAGGGACAAGCAGGTCCAGGTACCCCGCACACAAAGCCCCATCAGAACAAGTCCTAAACTTGATCTCGTGCAACAGACATTGGCCACAATGTTTTTCATGGGGTTTTTTGTTTTGTTTTGGGTTTTCTTGGCAGTGCTGGGGCCAGAACTCAGGGTCTCATGCCTGCTAGGAAAATGCACTCCAGAGGCTGAGCCACACCCTGGCCCTGGAAGTTTTAAGGACATGGGAAGGAGCTGGGCTCCTGATAATCACGACTGGCAATATTCCCACCTGGGCTGATGGACCCTAGGCTGGAGGAAGCCCAGCGCCCAGGCACCTTTGAGGCCAGTTGAGGGGCTAAGGTCTGAAACCCTGGCACATACCCAGTGGTGTCAGCGTGCAGTCCTCTTCCAGGGCACCATCCACGTGATACTGGGAATGCCGGATGAGGAAGATGTGCCGCGTGGCCTTGGCTTTGTAGTGGTCCAGTCTGGACGCCAGCTCTGCCTCTCCAGATTCTACATTCCTCTTCCGCAGGTTGATCAGAGACAGTGGTTCTCGCCTAATGTTGGAGATAAGATGATGAGGCCTTGTGACCTCTGCTCCAAGACACCCTGAGTACTAGGACTAGACAGTATTTCCAGCTGTGAGGATAACAGGAAAGAGCACAGTGGGAAAGCCAAGGCTCAGCACCAGCTGGGAAGGCCAGCTCCATAAGGCACAACGAAAACAATTAAATCACACAGGAAGATATGCTTAGGCTACATGCAAATATTATACCACCTTACATAAGGTACTTGAGCATTCACAAATTTCAGTATCTGCAAGGATCCCAGAACTAACCCCCAGAATACCAGGGGACCACTGTTACTGAAATTAAATAAAACCAGAACTCCTATTTTCTGGTACTGGGGATTGAACCCAGGGCCTCACACATGCTAGAGAGCTACACCCCCACTCCTTTTATTTTTTGACACAAGGTCTCACTATGTTGCCAAGCTGGCCTCAAACTCATGATCATTCTGCCTCAGCCTTCTACGTAGCTGGGGTTACAGGCCTGTGCACAGTGCCCAGACACACGAAGCATCTTTTCAATACTCAGCAGCCCCTGGGGTAGTGGCTGTCACACTGGCTGGTGGGTGGGAGTAGGGGAGAGGGAACTGGAGCTACAGAGAGTTAAACATGGGAGGCAGAAGCAGCACAAGTCAAACCTGCCAGGATTTCCCCCCATGGAGACGGTGGTAGATAAGGCATGGTTGGAGGGGCATCATGGTGACCCAAAGGCTGTCTGGCAGGGGTATTCTGCCTACTGGCCACACCCCAGGCTGAGCGTGTGTTGGCAGGTACAGGGAACCAGGGACTAAGCGAGAGAAAACAGGCAGAGCCAGGATGCTTTGAATCCCACGTGGCCCCCAGGAAGGGCAGGGGACTTGCCCAAGTAAAGCCCTGGAACTTTCTGGCACAGATGAGTGGAACATGAGGAGACATGTCCCCTTCTAGCACCTTTCTACCCTGGATCCCTCCCTACCCCAACAAATTTAAATCACTCCCTGTCTCCCTATCCATAAGTCTAGACATGGAAAGCAAATATGGAACATCAGTTTAAATCAGATAAACCCGGGCCCAACTTTAGGTTCTACTTTAAGTAAGTTCTTTGATATCAGAGTGGAGGTTTGCCTTTAAAAGAGTTGATATGCCAGGTGTGGTGGTGCAAACCTGTCTGTACTGATTTCCTTTCTTTTTTTTTTTTTTTTTGGTACCAGGGATTGAATTCAGGTCCTTGTGCTTGCACAGCAGGTGGCAAAACCACTAAGCTAAATCCTGGCCTGACTGTACTGATTTTTAATGCTTTGGATATTTTCTTTTTTGGTAGCACGGATCGAACTCAGGACCTTGCGCTTGTGAGGCAGGTGGCAGCACCACTCAGCTAAATCCCCGGCTCTTCTATACTGATTTTTAAAGAAGAGAATGTCTGTCCAACCGTTACGGAAACATCAGACAAATCCCAATTGAGGGACCTCCCCGGAAACACCGGCCCAGCACTCCTCGAGCCATCCTGCTCACCAAAGAAGACCAGCCCAGCTAACAGGCATCTCAAAAGACAGGAGCAGTGACTGTCAGGTGGGACTCTGGAACTACGGGACTAGGGGAAAATCGAGGAGCTCTGACAAACACACCACATTTGGGGTAAGAAGTTAAAAACAGAGGAAATTAGGGCGGGAGATTTAGCTCTGTGGCACTGCGCCTGCCTTGCAAGAGCCAGGTCCTGAGTTTGATCCCCGGTACCAAAAAAAAAGAAAAAAAAAAAAAACATAGAGGAGATTAGTTGTGGGATATCAAAGGATCCCGCTTAAAGCTTTTCTATAACTATATGACTATTCCAAAGTAAGTTTACTTTTAAAAAACTTAAAAGTTAAAAAAGAAACTATGAAGTTCCTGATACAAATAGAGAAACAAATATTGGTCAAATATCAGTGACACTGGTTTACCAATATACTAAAAACACTGTCATTTCAACATATATTAAAAGCCTGCACTGCTTTGGTTTTTCAATTCAAAATGACATTAAATAAAACTAAAAATTCCCTCCGGTAATTACAGGACTCTTATTTTAAACGCTCCATATCCACAAGTGGACGGCGCCCGTGGCACGGACCCGCGGGGAGAAAGCGCTGTCCACTCCTACCACAGGGACCCTCAGGCTCGGCTGTCCTCAGGCTGGGATCCCAACGACCTTCAGACGAGGCTGTCCGACACTCAGGGGTCCTCGTGGACAGCCTGCCCGCATTCGGCCCTCCGGAACCCTCGGAGACAGGACACCTTCCCGCCAGCCCCAGGACGCGCCAATCACCTGTCCCAGTTGGAATCCCAGAGGCTGGGCCCGGGCTGCGCGCCCTCGGTCCAGGCGGGCGGCTCGGGCGCGCGCACATCCGCATCCCCACCGCCGCGTGGCTTGCCCACCGCCACCGCAGAGAGGAGCACGGCCGCCGAGCCACCTGCTAGCCCGCAGGCCGCAAGCTGCAGCGCCTGTCGGAACGCCATGCCGCCAGTGCGCCTTGTCGACGGAGCGCCGCGAGGGTCACACTGCCGCGCTCTCCCACTCCCGGCCGACGGAAGTCCCGCCCTGATCCTGGCTGCGCGAGGGCCACTGGGAGTTCTCATGGTCTTCCGGGCCGCGACGACGCTAGCCGAGCGGGGCTAGGGGCCAGGCGGAGCCCGGAACGGTCGCAAGGAAGGTAACGCGGGGAGCGGGCGGAGAGCGCCCCGGGGTGCAGGCGGCCGTCGGAGGCGCGGGACGGGACAGGGCGGACTCCAGGGCTCTCCGGGCGTGGGTTTTTTGGTGGGTTTTTTTTGGTACCGGGGATCGAACTCGGGTCCTTGCGCTTGAGTAGCAGGCGGCGAAACCACTGAGCTAAATCCTCCGCCCCAGGCTTGTTTTTTTGATTAACTGTGGGCGCCGGCTCAGGGACTCCGAGACCTCACGGCGGTATGCTCAGCTGAGCCATCGGTACTCCAGGCGCTACAGGATCCAAGAACCAAACCCTTTCTCCTTCGTCTCGACAGACTGCTTATTGTGGCGTCTTCAGCATCCACTTCATCGCAATCAAAAGACCTGAGCGAGGCAGCAGGGTTAGGGTTAGGGTTAGGGTTAGGGCTCCCCCCCCCTCCGGTTAAGCCCGGGCCTTTTTGAGACAAAGTATCGCTAAGTCGCCTCGTGGCCCAATGTGGATCTAAACTTGCCATCCTCCTGCTTCAGTCCCCCAGAGTGGTGGGTGACGGGCCTGCACCACCATCCCTAGCCTTTTAGACCTTTTTATGGATTCATATTGTCCAAGTATAATTAAAATATTAGTCAAGACGCCTAGACTCAAGTATAAGAAAAAATATTTCCTTGTAAAACAGTGTCCAGCTCATTGAACCACTTAAAGGGACCCATTTCTACATCCCTTGAGTGTCCAAGTGGGAGACTGGTAGCAGCCAGAAAATTGTGTGAAAGGAGCCGAGTGAATGGTGTATGATCTGTGCTAAACTGGAAGTAGGGCAGTAAGAATTCACATTACTTAAAGACAAAGCTGGGGCCGGGATGTAGCTCAGTGCCTGCCTGGCAAGTGAAGGTCCTGAGTTTGATCATCGGTACAAAAACCCCCACAAAACCCAAACCTGCCTGGGAACTCTCCATCTTGTCTAACCCTGAGGTCTCAGAGGCTTGGGTACTCAGCCTGCTGCATCTGAATCCAGGCTCCCACTTACAAACAAAGGGGTCTTGCCTTTCACCAAACATGACTTGCCAAATGGAGTACTGCTGTCATGTGACATTCTCCAAAGAGTTCTGGCACAGGAATCCTGAGGTAGATTTTAGAACCATAGCTGATCTCTAGAACTGAGAACTGGACTGTTGATTTTTTAGAGATGAAGTCTCATTGCTACATTGTCTGGGCTGGGCTCAAATTTTTGGGTTCAAGTAATTCTGTCTCAGTTGACGGAGAGGTGGCTAACCAGCATGCACCACTGCACCCAGCTGATCTCTGGAGCTGAGTCTACAATCTTCTGAGATCCACAGCCTCAATTCTCCATCACTGCCAGGTAGATGGGGCCCACTAAAAAGAGGCAAGCTGGAAGTACAGGTGGAATTACCATGATATGTATCAACTGCACCAGTGTCTGTGACTCTGGTGAATGCCTCAGCTCCTGGGAACCACCCCATGCCAATATACATGAAGCCTGAAGAGCAGGTCTCTGAGGGGAAGTGGATCACAGCGGCAGCATCTACAGTGGCCACAGGTGCAAAGATCACAAATGTCCACTGCGGCGAAATAGGCACTGCTGAATGTGGTGTGTACAGCAGTGCAGTTGAGACCAGGAAACACAGGGACAATGAGGCATTTAAGGGCAAAGACCTGAGTGAACTGAGATAAGCCCAGGAAACTGGCGTGCAAGTGAAGTTGGCCCTCCTGACATCAGGCCTAGCAGAGGCGGCAGGCACATTACTTCATTTTTTTTGCTCCCCCCAAAAGTGCCCTAGAGCCTACATGTAAATCCCTGGACATGAGCACTCTGGCAGCATTTGTCCTTGGAGTTCTTCCTGGCTAGCAGGTGCTTTCTTTATTCTTTCTCTTCCTAAAATAAAATCCACCTAGTTCACTCTCCACTGCTGTGTCTGTGGATTTCATTCTTCGTTGACCAGGATAAGAGCCGAGAGGGAAGATAAAATTGGTAACACAAAGTTCAGCCATAAAAAGGAAGGGCATTTTAGGGTTTGAGTCCCAGCTGCACAAAAAGGAAAAAAAATTCTGACATGCTACAACAAACATGAACCTTAACAATCATAAAATATCAAAGACTGGGTAATTTATCAATGAGATTTATTTCTCACCACCCTGAAGGCTGGAAAGTCCAAAACCAATGTGCCACTGGTGAGGGCCCAATCTCTCTGCCCTCAAGATGGCGTTCCTGGGTTTTTTTTGGTATGGGGAATTGAATTTGGGTCCTTGCGCTTGCAAGACAGGCGGCAGAACCACTGAGCTAAATTCCTGGCCCACATTCCTGTTTCTTAATCATTCAGATGGGGTGGGGTGTGCTGTGTCCTTACTTGGCAGGGACAGAAGGACCAGCAGGGTGAACTCTCTGAAGCCTCTTTTATATGGGTACCAGTGCATTTATGAGTGACTTAATTATGCCCCCAAAGACTCCAACTTTTTATTTTGGTGGTACTGGGAACTGAACCCAGGACCTGGCACATGTTATGAAAACACTCTGCCACTGAACTAGCTCCCCAGCCCTTTTTATTAAATGTAATTAAGTTTTTGCCGTACTGGGGATCAAACTCAGGGGCACACTACTATTGAGCTACACTCCAGCCCTTTTTATTACTATTACTATTTATTACTATATCTGGTCCTTGCATTTGTTTTTTGGGGGGTTTTTTGGTACCAGGGATTGAACTTGGGTCCTTGTGGTTGCAAGGCAGGTGGCGGAACCACTGAGCTAAATCCCTGGCCTGGTCCTTGCATTTAAACCCTGGCAGATGTTATTCTAAGTGAAATAAGCCAGTTTAAAAAAGGAAAAATAAGGGGCTGGGCATTTAGCTCAGTGGTTCCGCCGCCTGCTTTGCAAGTGCAAGGTCCCAAGTTCGATCCCTGGTACCAAAACACCCAAAACAAACAAAAAAGGAAAAATACTATGTGATTCCACTCATACAACATGCCTAGACTCAAATTCAGGGAGTCATAGGCCCGGGGATGTAGCTTTGGTTCTGCCACCTGCCTCGAAAGCTCAAGTCCTGAGTTCCATCCCCGGTACCAAAAAAGAAAAAAATATTGAGATTGAGTTAGGGGCTGAGGAAATGGAAGGGGCTGTTTAAAGGGGACAGTTTTAGTTTGAGGAGATGAAGGCCTAGAATGGATGGGGGCAGTGGCTGTACAGCACTGTGACTGTACTTATGTCAATTTGTGTTATGTTACCACAACGCCCCCAAAAAAGAACACACCTGGCTACAGGTTTCTCCCAAGCAATGGAAACTCCTGAGAAATTACAACCACCAAGGAAGCAGCTGCATCGAAGTTTATTGAGACCCTTGTTGGGTTCAAGGCAGCACCCCGCATTGCCTCTCCACTCAAGATTGAGATAGCTGAGGCTTCTGTTTCTCCAGCCCTTATTTTGAGGCACCGTGAATCACATGATTTAGCATCAGGAGTCCTCCCTGTGTGGGTCGCAGCTCTTGCTTTGGTGGGTGCTCCCCAGCCCCATTCACTGTGCGTCCGAGGTCCTCCTCAGGCCGTTGTCACTTCCCCAGAGAGGCCAGGTAGGGATACCAGAACACAGCCACCAGGTTAGCAAACAGCACTCGGAACTGCTGGGGGAGTCAGAGGTGGCATCACCCAGAGGGATCGGCTCAGCTGGTCATTTCCCTGCCCACTGTTCTACTTACTGAGCTTTAGTTTGTACCCAGCTCTGTGCTAGACCTGGCAGAGGCAGGAGGACCAACCATCTGCTCCTAAGATGATTACAGGCCATCAGAAAACAGGCAGTGATCCAGACTCAGCGACAGACAGCTGTCTCTCTCCCCCTTCACCAGACGTTGTCACTGGTGCTGTACCTTGGTATATGTGTCCTCCCTCTGTGGCCTGCTCCAATCACCTGGCACCTGCCCCCACCCAGAGTCACCTGCTGGCAGATGCTATCTTCCTGGCAGGTGGGACCATGAGAGCAGCAGCCTGTCAGCTCACTAACCACGTGGTGCTTGCTATGTACCTGCTGAATGCCCTTCCTCCCCCTTACCACACAACTGTACCCACCTGAAATGGAAAATGTGATGCTTAAACGTTTTTACCCCCCAGTACTGGGGACTGAACCCAGGGCCTTCCCACTGAGCTACATCCCCAGCCCTTTTTTATGTTGAGACAGGCCCTCACTAAATCGCGTAATTGCCCAGACTGGGTTCCAAATTTTCAACCCTCCTGCCTCAGTCTCCCAGAATGCTGGGATTATAAGCATGTGCCACCATGCCCAACAGTGACAGTTAATTTTGATTGTCTTGACAGCAGCTGCTCTGGAGGACTAATGAAGTGCACCCCTAGGTGGGGACTGTCTGCTCCCTGGCCCTTCCTCTCTGGTGCTCTTTCCTCATGGTCTGCTTCCCAGCTACCATGAAGTGAGCAGTTAATAGCCAGGCATGGTAGTACACACCTGTAATCCCATTACTCAGAAGGCTGAGGCAGGAGGATCACTGTGAGTTAGAGGCCAGCTTGGACTACATAGTGAGCTCAAAACAAAAACCAAACAATCAAAAGGCAGTTCCTGGGCCAGGGGTTTATCTCAGTGGTTCTGCTGCCTGCCTTGAAAGCACAAGGTTTGGAGTTTGATCCCTGGTACCAAAAACAAAAAAGGCAGTTCCTGGCAAATTCCAACCTTGGAGCCAGCCATTCATGGAATGAAGCCTGTGAAACTGAGTTAAACTGCTTCAAATGTAGGTGTCAGGGATTGCATGGCAGCCATGGGAGCTGACTTTTCATCCTCGTTTCCAGCCAGCCTCTCTCTGTCTCTACACTGGATGCCAGTCATTAACCTGCCTGAATGCAGAGGCCTCACTCGAGCACCAGTCTATGCCTGGAGGAGCCCCACCCCCTTGCCTCTTTGGGGTGCTCCACGGAACCCTACACATCTATGAACCACTGAGCTAAATCCCCAGCCTAGACTTCTTATTTCTTTTAAACTCCCCCATCCTTCAAGAGAAGAAATCCAGCTCCTGAGGCTGCTCTTGGGAAGGTCACCGATCAGCTCATTGTGAATGCTGCACACCTTTTTTATTTTGCTTCAACTCCCTGCAGCTTCTGCTCTGGCTGGCTGGCTGTTGTGTCCACACACTCCCCTGGTACTCTGGTGCCTCTGATGTGTGCGTGCGTGGAGATGTGCACCTGTGTGTGAGCGTGTGTACCAGCCTGCCTCTGTCCCCACCCTTCCCAGCTTCTTCAGGGTGTTCAATGCTGGGTCTTCCTGCTCTCCCTGCTCCTCCCTGCGTGGCAGCTGTGAAGCCAGCTGGCTCGAGCTTTTCCCAGGCATGAAATTCACTGGGGTGCAGAGGCAGGTTCCCGAGCAGCTTGGAGCTGCAGCCCCGACAGGCCTGCAGGACAGCCCCGGCTAGGCACCTACACATTGTGAGGACCCCACCTCCGCACACCTGCTCTCTCTGAGGCTCCCAGTGCCCATCTCCCAGTGAGACCTGACGGGGTCCTGTGCTGGAGGAGTGGGCTCAGGTTGCTCAGACCCGGCAGGGTCCTGTCACTGGCACATGCCGTGCCCTGAGCCCTTGAAACCTGGAGCCATTGAGAGCACTGGCAGGCTGGGTGTGATGACAGCAGCATCCACAGATAGTGGTGTCCCCAGAGCCCTGGGTCCTGCTCTCCTGTGTCCCCACCAGCCCAGTATCAGCCTAGCACTGCCACTCTCTGCATCCCCTGCATTGGGCAGTAGCCTCCAAAGACTCTAGGTTCCCCAAAAAGGGCCTCTCATGTGCAGCTCAGTGACCTCCTGAGCCTGGCAAGCCTGAAAGTCCAGACTGACTATTAAGCCACAGGCATCCCTGGTGCTGACTGAACTGAATCTGCTGAATGCACAGATGACACTGGAGGGGCCCAGGAAGATCCCATGTGGCTCTGCAGCTGCAAACCCAGGACATGGGCACTCGGGGAGGTGACACACAGCTTGAGAGAAAACATCGCTTGCTGGGAGACAGTGCACACAGGGCCGTGAGAGGCCTCACCTGCAGGGGCACATAGTTGATGTTGATGAACTGCAGCGGGGTCCACATGCGCCAATTCATCCGCAAAGAAGGCCAGAAGCCGCTCCTCACCCAGGTGGCAAAGGCAGCAGGGTCCTTCCCCTGCAAGAGGCAGATGTGGTGAGTGGCTGCTCTGGCCACCTGACCTGAAGTGAGTGATAAAAACTAGTGTTTTGTTTTCTGACACAGAGGATCTCACTATGTAGTTCAAGCTGGCCTTGAACCTCTATGGAACCCAGGCTGGCCTCAATCTTGTGGCGATCCTCCTGCCTCTGTCACCTGTGTGCTGAGATCACAGGTATGCGCCACCATGCCTGGCCAGAGGGTCAGATTTGAACACATGAAGTTTCAGAACTTTTATATGGAGAAAAATACTGTCAATAATTTTGCTTATATAACTTTAAATGTTAACTTTAGACAAACATCTTAACTTTATATAAAATGCAAAATTTGAAGGGCCAGGGGATTTAGCTCAGTGGTTCTGCTGCCTGCCTCACATCCACAAGGTCCCGAGTTCAATCCCCGGTACCCCCCCCCAAAAAAAAATGTTTAGGGCTGGGGATTTAGCTCAGTGGTTCCAACGCCTGCCTCACAAGCTAAGGACCCGAGTTCGATCCCCGGTACCAAAAAAATAAAATAAAATAAAATAAAACTTGGCTGGCCATGGTGACATACACCTGTAATCTCAGCACTCAGGTGGCTGAGGCAGGAGGATCACTGAGTTCGAGGCCAGCCAGGGCTACGTAGTGATTTCAAGGCCAGCTTAAACTACATAGTGAGATCTTGTCTCAAAAATAAATACCTCAAAAATGAGAAAAATATTTACAATCTGTATTTGGTGAAAGATTGATATTAATATATACAAATATACAAATCAGTAAGAAAAAAGCAAACACCAAGCAAAATAAAGTTCAGGGAAGAAATAACACACAGAAGATAAACATATACCTAAGCATTCAACCTTGTAAATAAAGATATACAAATATATTTCTTCACCTATAGCAGTGATGGTGAAGTTTAGAGCTTTCAATGATACAAACAGCCCACACATATGCCATAGGTTTGCCACCATGGGGCTTCAGGATTCCAGACTTTGAAAGGCTTCTGCAGTATTTTTCAGACAGCCTTTTGCTTTTGGTACCATGGATGACTTTGGCACCCTGGTGAAGCCTAGGAACACCTCAGCACCATGTTTTATGAATGTATAAAATAAAATACACAAGACTGCTGAGTAATTGGTTATAAATACAGCTGTCGAAACAGGGCAGCAATCCCACGAGAGAGCAGTACACGGGCTTCTTATCAACACATCCAGTGTGGAGTCCTCAGGGCTGATTCAGGGAGTGACACATACTGGGGTGCCTGTGACTGCTATGTGCCACCAAAAAGTCTGTGATTCCCCTGGGGACAGGGTGCTGCTGACATTGCTGTGATCTGCTGTTTACAGTCACAAAGGAAGATGCAGGAGTTCAAGCTGAGTGCAGTGAAGGCAGACACCCACCTCCAGTAGGCTCATGGCGAGGAAGAATAGCAGCAGGAAGGCCGGGGCAAAGAGCAGGCCGTCCAGAAGCAGCCTCTTGATGGAGGCCAAGGGAACCTCAGGGGTACCCAGCGCTTCAGGAAGAGGTGGAAACAGTGGCTTAGCAGACCTGTGATGAACCTGAGGCCCACACAGGTGTGAGCAGGACTGGTTCTCTCCGCTGGCCTCCCCAGGTCCTGTCTGATCCCAATCCATCCGGGTCCTATGGTGCCCCCTGCAGGTGCTAAGGGTGGGTGCCAGGGCATCTCAAAGTTGAAAGGGAAGCCGCGTGAGGCCTCCCATGGGGTCTCCTCAGATACCACTGTCTGGGGGCAACACTGCTTTAAACACTCTATGGAAAAATGACTCAAGTGAGCATGCCTGCAAGTACGGAAAAAGTCTTTGTGAATTCTGAATTTTAAAACATTACTCTAGGGGTGGGGGATGTAGCTCAGTAGCAGCTTGCACAAGGCCCTGGGTTTAATCTCCAGCTCTGGGCTCTAGGGGTGGGGGGACAAAAAAGAGCTGGCCATGGTGGCACATGCCTGTAATCCCAGCCCTTGCGAAGCTGAGGCAGGAAGATCAAGAATTCAAGGCCAGGTTGGACTATATAACAAGACCTTGTCTCAAAAAAATCAAAACAGAAAAACCTCTATGTATGCACATGTACATTACATAAACACTGTAAACTGATATTTTTCCCATGATGATTACTTAAGTGCTTTTTCAAAAACCACTTCTCCAAATTAGACCCTTCCAAGACCTTGTGTGAGCAACTGTGCTCTGCTAGGCAGCCCCTCTGCAGCACTCACCCGTAGACTGCATATCTGAGAGGCCCGCGGACATCTAGGCTTTGAGAGTCTGCTATCTTCTGCTTCTTCTTAATCATCTGGACCAGGAAGTTCCCAAGTGCTGACAAAATGCCACTGTGGACAGAGAGGCAATCAGAAAACAGGGGCAACCGCCCTAGGGCGTCCCTTTTCCTGCTGGGGGCGGCAGCTGGCAGGGTTGCTCTGAGATTACAGTAAGTCACTCCATGGGTGGTGGCTTGGTCCTCATCCCATCAGCTTCAGAACCCAACACATCCACACACCAACACGATGCTGGTAATCATATACAAGTGTTACAAAGGAGTGGGGTTTTAAAAAGGGAACAGAAGGATCCTTAGGATGACACTATTCTGTAGTTTGTGGTGTGGACACACGGCCCTACACTTGTGGTGAAACTGAACAAAATTAACACATACTGAATACAAGAAAAATGGAAGGGAAATATGAACATAATCTGTGGGCTGCACACTGGCTGCATCCACCTCCGACACTGTATCGTGGTTTTATAAAATTTTTCCAATGGATAAAGTTCCTACCCCAGAGGTTCCTACGCTGGTTCTCACACCTGCACGGGAGTCCACGTCGCTGCAATAAAAATGTCAGTAAGAAGGTGGAGACGGGCCTGCTACTCGCTCTGAAACTGGGTCTGTGGCTGCCTTCTGGGAACTATAAAATCCAGAATTCTTAGCACACCACAGGACCTTTTAAATCTGACCCTTGGCTGCCGCTTTCTCACTTCCTTCAGCCGCGCGGGCTCCTCCCCCAGTGCCCTCCATCCAGAGCCCGCTCCTCCGCACGCCTAAAGTCACTGTTCAGCGCCTCTCCTGACCAGGGTCCTGCGGTCTCCTGTCTCTAGTTCTTCACGAGAACCTTGCGGGGGCCATGAGCACTTGTCCTGCATAGCGGCGCCCGCACGGCTAGGGAGGCTGGGTTCACGGAGGACACAGCTCTACGGGCGACATGCGGGGAAGGGACGCCGCCCAAGGTGTCCCTCCCTTCTCGCGCCCACCTGGTGGCCGCCTTGGTGAGCACCGGGTAGCGCTGCAGGAGCAGAAGGTACCGGACGAGAGCGCGCCGCGGGAGCGCCCCGAGCACAGGCTCCGCGCTCAGCCGGGACGCTGCGGGCGCCGTCTGTCTCCGTCGCAACAGTGCACCACCCGGGGCATCGACCCCTCTGCGGGCCAGCTGGGCGCCGGACCCTGGCCTCGGGGCGCGGGACGGGGACGGCCTGACATTTCCTGTTCCACTGCATCCCGCAGCGCTGTCCGGGATAGACTCCGCTGTGTGCGACACGCGCCTCCGCACACTTTTCCCCGGACCCTGACCACCGCCTCCCGGGGCACCGCGCCGACTGGAGCGGGGCGGGGCGGGTAGCACGCCTGCGTACCCAGCAGCCCGAGGCCCCAATGGCCACTCCCCGTGGGCGCCACCGCGATTGGCGCGCCGGGGGCGGGGTGCGTTGCGGCTCCTGATTGGGTGCGTGCGCTTCCAGGATCTCGCGAGAGCAGGGAAAGCGCGCCAAGTTTGTCTCGGAGGCTGAGGAGTCCGCGAGCGGCGCCATGGTGCTGAGGGACGGCGGACGGTGGCTCGTCGAACCGGGCGCGGACGCCGAGGCCAGCCGGTGAGGGCCGTCTCCACTCCCGGGCGTCCGCGGGGCGGCAGGCGGGCACGAGGGGTCGCCTGCCTGTCCCCGCGCGGCGCTGGCGCCCGGGCGTTGTCCTCCTGTCCTGTCGGTGCCGCCCAGCCTCGCTCAGAGGGTCGGGTCGGCGGACGCGGAAGACGGGCAGGTGGGGGACTGGAGGCTCAGCCCTGCGTGGACGCCGACTGCGCCAAGGGTGTCTGGCGGACAGGGTGTCGGCTGTGCCTCCGTCTCTGGAAGAGGGTCCGGGTGGTCCCCTTGCAGGGCGAAATCATGCAACAGTGTTTTTAAAACACAGCATGAAGGCACTTAACATTGACCGACAGTGTGGTGTAGTCATGTAGTTTCATCAGTAACTGGTGCTGTAGCCGAGCATGGTGATGCATGCCTGTAATCTCAGCACTGGGGAGGATGAGGCAGGAGGATTGCCGGGAGTTCGAGGCCAGCCTGGGCTACATAGTTTAAGGCTAACCTCAACCTCAGAGTGAGACCCTGTCTCTAAAATAAAATTAAGTTAAAAAGTAAAAACTGGCTCCAGAGATGTAGTTCAGTGGTGCCAGGGCTGCCTGACAAGCACAAGGTCCTGAGTTTGATTCCCTGTACCAGACAAACTGATACTTTAGGCTGGGTGTGGTGCCTCATCCCTGTAATCCTAGCAGTGGGAGGCCGAGGCAGGAGGATCATCACATGTCAAGTACAGCCTGGGATACTGGTGAGTTTAAGAGCACCGGGACTACGTGCTGAGACCAGAACACAAGCGTCCACAAAACAAGTGCATTCTAGCAGATGCCACAGGGAGCTGGAATCAGATCCTGGGAAGGGGGGAGGTGATAAAAGGAAAGGAGAGATACTTTCCTTTGTAGTTGGGGAGGAGAGGCCTTTGACACCTGGATTCCTGTGGAGCAGCCAGCAGAGCCCTGTCTGGAAGAGCACAGGGAATGTACCCAGGACAGTGGGACTAGCAGGAGCCGGAACTGGGCGTCTGTCTTCCTGGATGGCTGGGGCCAGGAGGCAGAGGGGGCAAGTGGGCTCGCTCTGCACAGGGAATGTGTGTTTACCGTCTCCCACCTGAATGTCAGCATCTCTGTCGACACATCTGTATGTGTATCTGCCTGTTTTTGGGGGTTTTGGGTTTTTTTCTCAGTACTGGGCAATGAACCCAGGGCCTTCACACTCAGGTTTTTTTGGAAAGCCACATGGGGCTCAAACTTGTGATCCTTCTGCTCAAACTTGTGATCCTCCTGCCCCAGCTTCCCAGAGTGTGGGATCACACACTTGTATTACCATGCTAGGCTCTGCTCATTGGTTTCTAAAGTAGCTTATTTACATTAAGAGAAAAAGGCACAGGATATTGGTGCTTAGCTTACATTTTTGAGGACCGAAGAACATAGTTGGCTTAGGAAATGAATAGGCCTTCTGGCCAAAAGCATAAAGGATCTAGAATCTCAGAACTGTGGTTCAAAGAAGAAAGTAGCTTTTTTTTTTTTTGGTATTGGGGATCAAACTCAGGACCTTGTGCTTGCAAGGCAGGTACAGTGCCACTGAGCTAAATCCCTGGCCCCTGAAAGTAGCTTTTTTTTTTTTTGGTATTGGGGATCAAACTCAGGACCTTGTGCTTGCAAGGCAGGTACAGTGCCACTGAGCTAAATCCCTGGCCCCTGAAAGTAGCTTTTTTTTTTTTGGTACTGGGGATCAAACTCGGGTCCTTGCGCTTGCGCAGCAGGCGGCAAAACCACTGAGCTAAATCCTGGGCCCTAAAGTAGCATTTTTAAAAGGAAAGCTGAAATGCTAATAAATTCCCAGATTGCTACTTAGAAAATAAGTAAGCTGTAATTATACTGGGCCATCCAGTTGGGATCAGTCTATGGTGTTAAAGACCATGAACAGTTTGGGAGAATCTGAGCCCTGGAATCAACAGGTTTGATAGATTGTAACTAGAGGGCCAGTGATTTAGTTTAGTGGTTCCGCTGCCTGCCTCGCAAGCACAAGGTCCCAAGTTCAGTCACCGGTACCAAAAAAAAAAAAAGATTGTAAATAGAGGCTTGAGAAGCTCTGAGGGTTGAGAAGTGAGCTCATTCTCTTCCTGCATTGGCAGAGCCCCCTGACTGAACAGCATATGCCCATTTGTCAATGCTTGGTTGTACTGGGGTCTAGACCCAAGGGCCCCACAAGCTTACGATACTCCTTAAGATCGAGTTTCTTTTGCTGCAGCAGGTGTTTCTATAACCTGAAGCCGTTCATATGCAGTTCCTAAAAGGGGGGCTGATGCCAGTAAAGTGTAGAGGTTGTATTGCTTAATCTGCACTTTTTCCCAAGCGAGAAGAACAACAGAGTAGAAGTGTTGTCTTTCATAGGAAAGGAAAGAGTTCCCAGCTGGAGTCTTGCACAGATGTGCGCCTTGCTAGCTGTGTTAGAGGAAATTTAATGTGAGCCCCTGAGCCTCAGCCTTCCAAGTGCTAGGATTGCAGTTGTGTGCCACTCAGCTAGCTTTGGCTGTTATGAATAAAGGTGCCATGAATATCCACATGCAAATTGCTTATGAAAATGAATTTTCTTTTATCTGGGATAAATGCCCAGGAATGCAGTGCTGGCTTTTGTGTATTTTTATCATCCCATGAGACATGGTTGCTGGTTGGTTAATGTTCTAGTTACAGTTTCTGAGGAGCCTGCCTCACCTGCACTTTTTCCGTAAATCCTGTTATGTCACTGGGTTTTGGCCAATCTCGAGGTTTTTGGGGTTTTGTTTTTGTTTTTTCCTGGCACCAGGGGTCGAACTTAGGACCTTGTGCTTTCGAGGCAGGTGTGGTGCCACTGAACTAAATCCCCGGCCCTGATTTCAAGGTTTTAAGGAATGTGTATGCCATGCCATATTAGAGACACTGACGCTAGTCTTAAGGCACACTTCCACTAGGGTTAAGGCTGTGGGGTTGGTGGTGTCACGGGTGGTGAACCTAAGCTCCCCTCTCTCCATCAGGGATGATGGCCCTTCTTCCTCAGTCTCGGCACTCAAGCGCCTGGAGCGGAGTCAGTGGATGGACAAGATGGACCTGCGATTTGGCTTTGAGAGGCTAAAGGCACCTGATGAGAAGACTGGCTGGCTCATCAACATGCACCCTGTAAGCACCTGTGCTTTCTGAGCCTCTGCTCTGTCCCAGTGGCTGCACCCCTTCCCGTAACACGGTCCTCACCTGAAGAGTAGGTGACAGGCTGGGGGTTGGTTTGTTGTTTTGGGTTTTTTTTGGTAGCAGGGATCAAACTCAGGACTTCACACTTGCCAGGCAGGTGCTGTGCTGCTGGGCTAAATCCTCGGCCCGGTTGGGGGTTATCTGAAGAGTATGTGTTGTCTAGGTGGTGCAGGTGGAAGATGATTCTTCGTAGCTCTCCTTCTTTGCTCTTAAACATCCTTGAGGGCCACAAAGTGGCCATTATGAAAAGACTAAGATGAGGGTCATCTCTGTGGGCCATTGGAAGTTTTTTTTAAAAAGCTTCCAGGGGTCACAAAGGAAAACTTCAGAGAAGCCTATATTGGGAGCTGTTACTATCCAGTACTTGTGAATGAGGCGGTGTGGGGGTAGCATTAAGAGCAGATTGTTGTTTTGTTGTTGTTGTTGTTGTTTTTGTACTGGAGATCGAACTCGGGACCTTGCGCTTGTGCAACAGGCACGAGAACCACTGAGCTAAACCACCGGCAGGAGCAGATTGGAGGGTTTGCTTTAGTGTTCAGTTTCCCAAGACTAGCCATCCATGGCTCCTGGGCTTGTAGAGAATTGTCTGTCCATGTCTATGTCGCCTGGTTCTCTTGCAGACCGAGATTTTAGATGAAGATAAACGCTTAGTCAGTGCTGTAGATTACTACTTTATTCAAGACGATGGCAGCAGGTTTAAGGTAAGCACTGACCTCCAGAAGCTAAACTTCACTTCTGAGGAGCAGTTGTCGGAAATGATGGGCATTCCCTTAGCTTCGCAGCCTTTGGGAAGGGGCTGGGGGCCTCCTACTGTGCAGTTGCCTGCAGCCTGTCTGGAGCAGAGCCCCCAAGAGCCACCTGACTCCCTTGAAGATGTCCTGAGAAAAGTCAGCTCAGGAAGTCAAGCGGAGTTGGCTCTTGAAGAAAATGAAAGCAAAACCAGACTTCCTGAGTGCTTCTCTCTTAAGAGCTGTCTGGGTCCAGGATGCCTTGGATCCAGGCTGCCCATGGGCTGTATCTGCAGATAATCTGTCTTCACTTTTTTTCCCTTTTTTTCTTTCTCATCATCCCTGGTTGGCTTGGTTTTTGCAGGTGGCCTTGCCCTACAAGCCGTATTTCTACATTGCAACCAGAAAGGTATGTCTCTCTTTTTTTTTTTTTTTTTTGTGCTTTCAGGACAGGCAGAGGAACCACTGAGCTAAATGCCCGGCCTCTTTCATAGAGTCCGGTCAGGTGACCTGTGCCTAGTTCTGTGGTAGGCTTCTATAGGCTTCATATATTAATAACGAGAAGTCCTTTTATTTTGGTCCTGATTTAGGGTTGTGAGCGGGAAGTTTCATCTTTTGTTTCCAAGAAGTTTCAGGGTAAAATTGCAAAAGTAGAGACGGTCCCCAAGGAGGATCTGGACTTGGTGAGTCCCATCCAGACCTGCGGCAATGAGGCCAGTGTGCACTGCCCATGGCGGCTGGGTTGGAAGAGGGAGGAAGGTCATTTACTGGGTGGGGCAGTCTGCATGATGGGGATGCTGCTTGTTTTCAGAGCTCTCCTCAGGGAACTCTGGTCCCATTGGTTGGTGCCACTTGCAGAAGTGGACAAGGTGCTTTGATGCTACTACTTTGATGTGTGTGTGTGTGTGTGTGTGTGTTTACCTGTGAGTTTTTACTCTCTTGTCTGCTCTCACTACATCGTCCTATATTTCGAACTTATAGCATAGTCTCTCCACTTTACAGCCAAATCACTTAGTGGGTCTGAAGCGAAGTTACATCAAATTGTCCTTCCACACTGTGGAGGATCTTGTCAAGGTGAGGAAAGAGGTTTCTCCTGCTGTGAAGAAGAACCGGGAGCAAGACCATGCCAGCGATACATACACATCTATGCTCTCCAGGTAAGCTCTTTGGGAGCAGAGCATCAGCTGGTCCAGCATGGCAGGATAGATAAGAGGTGGGGAGACCATGGTGAGTTGCCCTAGTGATTGTTCTGTCCCATGTGGAAACACTTGAGCAATTGGGTAAAGTTGCTCAGTGCCTTCCTATGTTTTGTTTTAACTCTCTCCTTCCATATGTAGGGAAGTTGGTTCATGGCTCTAAAATTGAGTTGATTTTTTTTTTTTTTGAAACTCACTATGTAGTTCAGGCTGGCCTTGAATATAGCCCAGGGATGTCCTCAACTTGTCAACTTGTGGCAGTCCTCCTGCCTCAGCTTCTTGAGTGCTGAGATTACAGGCATGCACCACCACACCTAGCTGAGTTGCTTTTAACAATATGGATATTTTGGGCTGGGCATGTAGCTCAGTGACGCTGGGCCTGCCTGGCAAGCACAAGGTCCTGAGTTTGATCCCTGGTACCACAAAAAAACCCTAAAACGACATTTTGGAGAGATCCCTCATCCAGCACTCTAACAAATTGACTTACATAGCATATCTTCCCTGGAGAAATTTGGGTGTGATACAGAGAAGGCTAGGTACAGAGCACCCAAGCACGGTTAATCAAATGTTGAGATGTCAACAGTAACAGGAAGCAGGTCAGTTGCACAGGCAGCAGCTGCGGGAAACTGACATCTGGAAGTCCCGTGTTAGAGGTTTAATAGCTTCATGTAGAAGTTGGCTGCAGCATGGGTTTCAGATGCCTGCACCCCGGAGGAATGAGAGCCTATAGTCCCACGGAAGTACCGCCTATTGCATTTGCCACATCTCCTAAGCTGACCCCAGTTACCCTGCGCATGATTATGCTGGGAAGAGCAAGGCCCCCCACTGCAGAAGCTTTTCCAGAAACCCAATGGGGCACTGTCCACCTGTCTCGGGGCCTGCCTGGCCAAATGCTTTCCAGACCACCATGGTGCTGGCTGTGGAAGGACTCCCTGCTGCCTCAGCACCCTCTACCCAGCTGCACAGCCAGAAACCAGAGTAAGGCTGCAGAGGACGCATTGGCTTTTTGGCATAAAAAAGCTCTTTGAATTTTCTTTTTTTTTTTCCATTTGGATGGTCTACTTAACATTTTTACAAAAAAATATGAAGCGTTTTGGTTTATGAAATGCATATGGCCTGTTCGCTGTGAAAGCAGTTTGACTGTTAAAACAGTTGTTTAAAGAAATGACACTGCGCTCAAGTTTTGGTCTCCTGATTTCCCTGGAGGCACTGGATGAAGGTTGCTCATTAATGTGTCTATGCTGATGCCCTCGGGGCTGAGGTTGCATTCTTAAGCATGGAGTGCAGAAGCCGTGACTGAAGATCAAGGCCAGGTGTATGAAATGGAAAGTAGGCACCTTGGTGGACTTTCCATCTTGCAGTAAAATGTAAATAAAAATTATTTGCAGCCTGTCTATATTCATAGGGCAGTTTGTTTCAAAAGGTTATGATTTATTTTGACTGGGATAAATACATGAATAAAAATAATAGGAAATAAGAGCTTAAGAAGAGAAAGCTTTGAATAGTTAAGTTTCTATGACTTCAAAAGAAATAACCGCATCCTCCAACAGAAAAGTTCCTGCAGTTTCCCCCCAACCCATCTTCCCACACTGATGTCATAAATTACTTTTCTGAGTAATGTCAGGGGGAGCTGAGCCGTTTCTGGGACTCATTGTCTGCCCTTTTACTCACAGGACCTTGCACTTTCCTGGCCCTGGCCTTTTACTCTTGATAGTCCATTCAGTGTTTGTTCTTGTTTGGCTAATAGTGAATGTTCCAGTGACAGATTTCCTCTTGGATATAAGACTATTATAGAATTCATTGGCATTTGCCAGCCACTTCACTGTGCACCCAGCTGAGACCTCACTTAGCACTCACTGCTCCTGTAAGGTAGGCTGGTTGCTTGCTCCCTCGTTTCTTTGATGAAAAAGCAGGCTCTGCAGGGTGGGCCATGTCTGTCACCATGACACCCTGCACAAGGTCTGTGAGGAGGCGGGATCTGCTGTCCTTGGGCCTGCATGGCATAGCCTCCTGAGGAGCAGAGAGGATGTGGTGTGGAATGGCCATGTTTGTGCCCTTTTCTGGCTGGTGGCAGTGAGTGTGACATGTACCACATCCAGTGCACACGTTTCAAGCACACACTGGATTTTCTTGTCTCTGGCCTGTTGATCAGGTAGCACCCTTGCCCTGATTATCATGCCCACCTCGGTATGGCCTTGTGTTTACTGTATGTGGACTCTTGTCTTCATGTCCCCCAACCCCTAACAGTGTAGTTGAGTAAGTTTCTCTTTCTGTGTATTTCCTAGCGTTCTGCAAGGAGGCAGTGTAATCGCTGATGAAGAGGAAACCTCCAAGAAGATAGCTGACCAACTGGACAACATAGTAGACATGCGGGAGTATGACGTCCCCTACCACATCCGCCTCTCCATCGACCTCAAGATTCATGTGGTGAGGGAAATTCCTAACAGCCAGGACATGATACATTTAAATTCACAGAGAAATAGATATCTTTAGTTAATGCACTGCATGTCCTGCAGGCTCACTGGTACAATGTCAGATACCGAGGAAATGCTTTTCCAGTAGAAATCACCCGCCGAGATGACCTCGTTGAACGACCTGTAAGTACTGCTTGGGTGTCCTCCATCCTACAAGTTCAACTACAAGTTTTTTTTTTTTTTCTTTTTTTTTTTTTTTTTTTTTGGTACCAGGGATCAAACTTGGGTCCTTGCACTTGCGAGGCAGGCAGCGGAACCACTGAGCTAAATCCCTGGCCCTAACCTACAAGTTTTCTGGAGAGGTCAGGTTAAATGGTGAGGAGAGCATCTGATTCTTGCTTCTTTTTTCTCTAACACTTTCTAAAAAGAATTACAGAATTAGTATTTTTCTCATCAGTTTCTGAACTGAGAATATAATTGCATTTCACACCTGTGTTACCATGACATCAGTAGATTTGAACCTCTGAGGGAATGCTGTGCCTTCCACTTGGGCAGTGGGTAGTGGAGTGACTGATGAAAATGGGTTTATACCTGGAAGGCCTGGGCCGAGGTGTGGCTTCGTGAGTCTGGGAAAGTCCTGATACAGTCTTCTCATTTCCAAGACCATGTCAACTGTGCCACAGGGCTGTAAAGGTCAAAACAAGGCAGTCATTTTAAGGCGCCTCGAGGCGTGTTCTGTAAGGTGCTCTGACAGCTTTGGCCTTTGTCTCTTACGTGTTCGAGTTTCCACGCCATTGGTGAGCTGTGGTATTCTGAGGATAGGTCAGTCAATCTAAGATACTTCTCAGCTCCTCTGGAGCCTTTTAGCTCTTACTTTTAGCAGAGATGAGGGGCAAGTTCTGGGAGTCCAAGGCGGTATCCAGACCTTGGCTGGCTCTTTTTCCCCCAGTAGTCAGGGGGATTGTACCACTGCACTACATCCCCAACCCTTCTTTCTTTCTTCCTTACTTATTTATTTATTTTATTTTGAGACAAGGTCTCCCTAAGTTGCCCAAGCTAGCTTTGAACTCAGGATCCTCCTGCCCTTACCTCCCAGTAGCTGGGATTGCAGGTGTGTGCCACCACTCCTGGCCCTTGGCTTGTTTTGTTGCTGATTCAGGATACATTTTTGTCCCTTCAGGACCCTGTGGTTTTGGCATTTGACATTGAGACAACCAAACTGCCCCTCAAATTTCCTGATGCAGAGACGGACCAGATTATGATGATTTCCTACATGATAGATGGCCAGGTGAGCTGAGTGCCCTGTGGGAACTCCTCCTGGGATGGGGACCTTGTGTGGTCCCTGCACCAGAGCAGGGTGCACCCTATGGTTAGTATGTGCTGAGGGAACAGTGTGACTGGAGTCCAGGAATGTGAACAAGTTGTTCCGACTGCAGTCACACCACTCCCTCCCTCCTAATAGAAGTCTTGGAAACCTGGGGCTCTTCTGGGGACAATGAGATGCTTTAAGTGGCTGCAGAGTTCTTGGTGATAAGAGCCACCAGACAGTTGTTGGGTAGTGTTGAAAGATGTTTCTCAGCTTTGCTATCTCTGACTTGTGTTGACTGCTAATGACCTTCTTCAGGGCTACCTCATCACCAACAGGGAGATTGTTTCAGAAGATATTGAGGACTTTGAGTTCACCCCCAAGCCAGAATATGAAGGACCCTTCTGTGTCTTCAATGAACCAGATGAGGTAACTGCCTGTGATCGGGAGAAGCTGGGAAGAAGCAGTGTGCTGGCTTTTTAGAGACCTTGGCATCGCTGAATAAGGGCTGCAGCTCAGCCAGCTTCTAGGCGAGACAGTGTGAACTGACCTGAGGGCTAGTCCCAACTCTCTTTCTGAGAGATGTTTCTGGGGGAGATGTTTGGAAGTAGCTGGAAGCAGAGAAGTGACACACTGACTGCTTGATTTGTTGAGCTCAGGTCCATCTGATCCAGAGATGGTTTGAGCACATCCAGGAGACCAAACCCACCATCGTGGTGACCTACAATGGAGACTTTTTTGACTGGTGAGGTTCATGTCCTGTTTGTGGGTAACTAGGAAGTATCAGGGCAGGAGGTAGAAGGAGACCTGTGCCTCATAACTATCAGTGGATTTCTTCTGATGGAGGAGAGGTTGGGGTAAAAGGTTCCAGTTTACTTTGGAATCTCCTGAGAGCCGTCTTCCATGTGTCTGAGGAGGAACAAAGTAAGAAGAAGCAGAGAATAACCCGAAACATGGCATGGTGACACATGCCTGTGATGCCAGCTACTCAGGATGCTGAGGCCGGAGGATTGCAAGTGTGAGCACAACCTGGGCAGTTTAGCGACTTAGTAAGACCCTGTCTCAAGATAAAAAGGGGGCTGTGGATGCAGCTCAGTACGAGACCCTGGGTTCATTCCCCAGTACTAACTTAAAAAAAAAGCAAGACTAACCTGTCTCCTTTGTCCCAGGCCGTTTGTGGAGGCCAGGGCAGCAGCCCATGGCCTGAGCATGTACCAGGAGATAGGATTCCAGAAAGACAGCCAGGGAGAGTACAAAGCACCACAGTGCATCCACATGGACTGCCTCAGGTGAGTACCTGGCCTGTGTGCGAGGCCTGAGTTCTCATGAGATGAGTGGCTGACGGTCGCCCAGGAGGACAATGGTCTCTGAGAAGCAGCTTGGTCCAGAGCACAGCCTCTGGTTCTGTGGGCCCAGGGTGTGCAGGCTCTGACTGCTGCTCATCCTACGCTCAGCCACCACACACTGAGCATCCAGAACAAGACCGGTGGGCTGAGGTCTGCAAGATGAGCAGTCACAGACAAACCACGGCCTGCTGCAGGCTGAGGGGCAAAATGTCAGTGGCTCAGAGGGCCAGAAGGCCCTGGTGTTGGGGCTCAGTAGCCTAAAGTTGGAGAACGGGTATGGATGTGGAAATGCAGAGGCTGGAGAGACCGCTTCTGGCTGGCCTGGAGGTTGGCTGCAGCAGCTGTCACAGGTGCCACAGGGGCAGCAGCAGCCAGTGCTGACATTTCGGCACTGGGGGTAGAGAGGAGTCAGGAGGCTGAGCCTGTTTACAGTGTGCCCACTGGGTGAGATGACCGAAGGCAAGGAGAAGAGAGGCCAGGACTTGGCTCTGGTGAGGTAAGGCATGGTCCTGAGGTGGGTGAATAGGCCAGAGAGGGTGGAGGTGGTTTTTGGCATCTGTGTTGACCTGGAGCCCCCACCCACGTGGAGAGGCCCTTTCTGTGTCCTGGATCAGGAATCTGGTACCTGAGTCTGGGCAAAAGCCCTGGTAGTTGACAAACTCTTAAGATGAGAAGTAGACAGAGAAGGCGCCGGGGATTCAGCTCAGTGGTTCCACCGCCTGCCTCGCAAGGGCAAGGACCCGAGTTTGATCCCCGGTACCAAAAAAAAAGTAAACAGAGAAGAGGTGTGAGGAGCTGCGGGGAGGGGCTGCAGGGCTCACAGAGGCAGAAGCCGGGAGGCGGAGCCTGGCCGTGGCACCAGGCAGCTGCAGCACCAAGGAGCGTGTGGGGCCACAGAGACTCCGAAGACCGCAGAGTGTGGAGGAAGTGGGGCTCCTAGAGGCGGGAGGTCCAGCTGTGTCCATGCTGAGGGACTGGTGTGAGGAGATGAGCCTGCAGAGCAGAAGGGGCTCCCAGGGCTGCAGAGGGAGCTTGGGTGGGGCAATGGGAGGAGGAACGAAAGGAGCCCTGTGGGGTGCCCAGAACAAGGCGAGGGGTGCAGAGAGGGCCCTTTCCATCTCTGACTAAAGGCTGAGTTTTTGCTGAGGTGGGAGGTAAGTAGAGGCCCGAGGACACCCTGGCATTTCTTCATATCTTGGGGTCCACCTGTGAGAGTAGCTCCAGGGGAATTGTTCCGTGAGGCCTGCCCTGGGCGAGGGAGTCAGTATCCTGGGTGCTGTCAGGACCCTCCTTCCCTCTGTGTTGTACCATTTTGGCAGCCTTCGTGTTAGAGTCATGTCTAGCATTTGTTCTCCTTCCCTTCCCAGGTGGGTGAAGAGGGACAGCTACCTCCCTGTGGGTAGTCATAACCTCAAGGCAGCTGCCAAAGCCAAGCTTGGCTACGACCCTGTGGAGCTAGACCCAGAGGACATGTGCCGGATGGCCACTGAGCAGCCACAGGCACGTGAGCCATGTTCCTACTCTGCAGGCAGTCTCCAGGTCCTGTGGGCTGCAGCAAAGAAGCAGGGCACCTGGGCTCACATGCCAGCTGACCGCTGCCTGCTGTGGGCTCGGCCCCTCACTGCACTTCGCCTCTAGGCCTCCTGCTCTGCAGGACCTTGGGTCCTGACAGCTGAGCTCTGGTTCTCTCCACAGGCTCTGGCCACATACTCAGTGTCAGATGCGGTTGCCACTTACTACTTGTACATGAAGTATGTCCACCCGTTCATCTTTGCCTTGTGCACCATCATCCCCATGGAGCCCGATGAGGTCAGCACTCCCCTGCTTCTCTGTAAGGCCCTGCTGTCTCAGCATCCCGCTGCTCAGAGCTGGTTGGTCCTGGGGGCTAGTGGTGAAGGTGGTGTAGGACTTTGGTGAATGATGTCACTGATGTCCTTCAGCAAGCTTGGGGCCCTGCTATGCCAGCGACCATGGCAGGCGAGGTCAGCAGCCACATCCAGGGGCCTTTCTAGTAGGTCCTGGACTCAGCCAGGCAATCAGGACAGAGGCTTGTGGGGGCATAGCTGGACATGGTGTCTCCTGCAGGTGCTGCGGAAGGGCTCTGGCACACTGTGTGAGGCCTTGCTGATGGTGCAGGCCTTCCACGCTAACATCATCTTCCCCAACAAGCAAGAGCAAGAGTTCAACAAGCTGACAGATGACGGCCACGTGCTGGATGCTGAGACCTACGTGGGGGGCCACGTGGAGGCACTGGAGTCCGGCGTATTTCGCAGTGACATCCCCTGCCGGTTTAGGATGGTGCGCTCCCCAGGGCCTTCCTGGGTGTCCGCTTCTGTTCTTGCTCGTGGTCTGTGGCCCAGGCCCAAGGAGGGCAGGGCTCTGCCCGGGGCTCCTGAGCCTGCAGTGCTTTCTGTCGTGTCCTGCCCTCTGCATGGGATGTGCCGGGCTCTGCGTGCACTCACGGTTACAGCATCTCACCTGTGGCAGGTCAGTGTAGGTGCAGTTTCTGACTTGTGTTCTCTTGTGTCACTTGCCCTAGAATCCGGCTGCCTTTGACTTCCTGCTGCAAAGGGTTGAGAAGACCATGCGCCATGCCATTGAAGAGGAGGAGAAGGTACCGCTGGAGCAGGCCACCAACTTTCAAGAGGTGATTGTCTAGGGCCAAGGTGGTCCATGCTGGGCTCTGTTCTTTCTCCAAAGCCTCGGGGCCTAGTGGCTGCCCTTCCATTGCTAGGCCCTCGTTGCTGTTGTGGTGACTGTCCAGTGGTTCAGGTTTTACCGAAACCGCCAGTGTCCCTTCATTCCCCTTTCTCTTCAGGTGTGTGAGCAGATTAAGACCAAGCTTACCTCCCTGAAAGATGTTCCTAACCGAATTGAGTGTCCTCTGATCTACCACCTGGATGTGGGGGCCATGTACCCCAACATCATCCTGACGAACCGCCTGCAGGTGAGACTGCTCTTCCCACAGCAGAGCTGGAGTTGTGTGCAGATCCTGTTGATTCCTGGCTCTCACTCTCCTCCCCTCCTTCCTCTCCCTCTCAGCCCTCTGCCATGGTAGATGAGGCCACCTGTGCCGCCTGTGATTTCAACAGGCCTGGGGCAAACTGCCAGAGGAAGATGGCCTGGCAGTGGAGAGGCGAGTTCAGTGAGTGTTGGTCCCAGAGGACCCTGGGCGGGGTGGGGGCCCAGGCAGTGTCTCCACTGGAACCTCTCACATGACTTCCCTCCCAGTGCCAGCCAGCCGCAGCGAGTACCATCGGATCCAGCACCAGCTGGAATCAGAGAAGTTTCCCCCACTGTTCCCAGAGGGGCCAGCCCGGGCCTTCCATGAGCTGTCCCGAGAGGAGCAAGCCAAATACGAGAAGCGAAGGCTAGCAGGTAAGCACCCAGGCAGCAGCTTTTCAGCCCACAGCTCTTTCCTGCCCACAGGTGCTGACACACCGAAGCCAGAGGTTCCCTTTGAGTCCTTCCTCCTTTCTCCTTTGGCAGGTGCTCAGAAAGCTCTCTCTCTCTGCAGTCTCAGTGTCTTTGCCTGTTCATACCCAGGGCCACCCTGCCTTACTATGATGAACTCGAAGCCTACCTGGGTTTTCTGTTCCTTGGTGTTAACTTAGAATACGGCTCCTCTGCATCCCTGTGTCCCGACTTGTTCATCTGTGTTGGGACAATCTCTCATTCTTGCCTCACCGCTTAACTGTGCATAGATTACTGCCGCAAAGCTTACAAGAAGATCCACGTCACCAAGGTGGAGGAGCGCCTCACCACTATCTGCCAGCGGGAAAACTCCTTCTATGTGGACACAGTGCGCGCCTTCCGAGACAGGCGGTACAAGTTCAAAGGGCTGCACAAGGTGAGGCTGGAGGGGCCCTGAGAGATGGCTCTGACGAGTCTGAAGTGGGGGCCTGCATTTGGCTGTGTCTAGACGTCCTCATCCGCCCACTGGCATGTGTTCTTTGGACTCTTCTGAGCTGACTCAGACAGTAAATGAGGGGTGGACAAGTTGAATGGCTCGGAAGGAGGTAGGTGTCATCCACCCTGGCTGGAGGCTGGGAACTAGCCTGAGCATTGTTTCTGAAGTAATTATTGAGAGCAGTGGTCTGTAGACTGCAGTGGGCCTTTCGTGTGTTGATAACTGTGGGAAGTGAGTGAGTGGTTCTGACAGACTGCATCCACATGCACGAATAACTGTCTGGCCTGGCCTTCTGGTTTGCTGACCTCTGATTTAGAGGAGCTTCTCACGCACTTCTGGTGGGAACAAGGCAACTATGTGACAACTCTCAGTTGTATCAGGAGCTGATAGTTTTATGTTAAAATCAAATGATTTCTGCAATACCTCCTGCTTCTCAGCCTGGAAAGGTCCCCTGCTGGGGTCTCCTTGAATCCCGTGCTGCACTGATATCACTGTATCTCTGCTCTTACCAACTTTCTCTTCTCACAGTGGCAAGGTGTGTTTTTTGTTTTGTTTTGTTTTTTTGAGACAGATTCTCACTTTGTAGTCCAGGTTGGACTCAAACTCATGGCAGTTCTCCTGCCTCGGCCTCCCGAGTGCTGAAATTATAGGCATGCGCCACCATGCCTGGTTGTGCCAAGGTGTTCATAACATTGAATTTAATGTTTTAAATGTACAGTTCAGCTGAGCAAGGTGACACAGGCCTGTAATCCCAGCACTTGGGAGGCTGAGGTAGGAGGATTGCTGTGAATTCGAGGCCAGCTGGGGTAGCATAGAGAGTTCAAGGCCAACCTGGACTATGCAGCAAGACTGTCTCAAAGGTGGGGGGAGTTCAGTGGTTTTAAGGATATTCACATTGTGCAGTGGTCACCACCATCTTCAAGTCTTCGTCTTCCCAGACTGAAGCTCTCCTCTCCTGCCCCACCATTCTCCTTGTATCTGAATTCAGCTCCTCTAGGTGCCTCAGACAGGAGGCATCTGTGACTGGCCTTCTCACTTGGTATAATGTTTGCATGTCCCTTCCTCCATCGGTGGACGATTCTACTCTTGGCTACTGTGCGTAATCTGTGAACTCAGTGTCATGGCTACAGAGGAGACCCTGAATGTGTGGGAGATGTCTGGAGGCCTTGGGTCCCACTGCTGCCATTTTCGAATAGATCTGTGGAGAGAGAGATGGACAGACAGGCAGACACATGTGCAGAGAGGGAGTGGTAAGAAAAGTGGAAGGCGAGGAGGAGCAGTAGAGTAAAGGAGATGTGGCTAGATGGTTACAGAAGAACGTATGGTCTTCCGTATCTCTTTCTTTTCCAAGTTTTCTATCACATGTTGGAAACTTGGGCTGTTGGCTTGTAGAGTAGACAGTGGGGGGGAGCCTGGCAATACTCAGACTGGTGTGGTTCCAGGTGTGGAAGAAGAAGCTCTCAGCGGCTGTGGAGGCAGGTGACGCAGCTGAGGTGAAGCGCTGCAAGAACATGGAGGTCCTGTACGACTCGCTACAGCTGGCCCACAAGTGCATCCTCAACTCTTTCTACGGCTACGTCATGCGCAAGGGGTACAGGCACAGGAATGCCGGGGAGTGAGCAGGGCGAGGGCACAGGAATCCCAGTGCCTACAGGCTTGGGGTGGGTGAGCAGGTGGGGTGCTTCTAGCTCAGGGAGTGTTGGAGACAGCTTTGTGTGGCACTGGGAGCCCCAAGGACACGGGGAGCCACACAGGCTGGAGGGGCTGAGCCTCCAGAGAGACACATGCTGCCAGACATCCTAGTCTGTGTGTACTGGGCTGGAGGTACAATCTGTCCATTTCAGCATGTTGACATCACTGAGTGTGGCATCATTTGGTGATGGGAAGGGTCTGGGTGGTTGCTAAGCAACAGTAGATATATTTAGGGATGGTCAGAGGAGTGACCAGTGCAGGGCCTGGAGCCAGCTGATGTGCAGAGTTTTGAAGCTGGGTGGAGACTGTTCTCAGGAAGAGAGTAGGAAGGATGGGAATGAGGCTGTGTGTGCTGCTTGGACTGATCTGGTTGGGGCCTCAGGAAGGCAGGCCAGTGGCTGAGGTGAGGCCTGGCCTCTATGGGTTGGAGCCTGGAGGATGTGAGGGCTATTAGCCTCAGCTCTGGAGAGAGAGAAAGGAGGACTGGGCTCTGAGGTTGGTTTGAGGGTGGATTGTGTTTATCTTCACTTTCTAGCCATGAGACAGAGCCATGTTGAATGCTGCTGGGCAGAGGGTGGAAAGGCTGATGTAGAGAAGGGCAAAACTCAGAGCAAGGAGTCAGGTGGCCCCCTGAGGCCAGAGGTGAGGGTGCGCCCTGGGCTGAGCTGTGAAGAGTGGAGGAGACCTGAGATGGCTGGGGATAGCCTTCAGGTGCTGCTGAGCCTGCAGTGGGCAGCTGATGCCATAGCAGTTTTCCTGAGCTGTGCGGCTCCCTGAAATGGGGCCGGCAGGGCAGAGCCAGAGCCCACCCTAGCTCTGTGCCCCTCCAAGCACATTGGCCATTCCATCATCCCTGCTGAGTGTCCCTCCTTCCATGCTTAATTCCCTGTGGAGGGAGCAGTGCATCAGCCCACCCACCACAGGCCACAACTGTCCCTCCCAGGGCTCGCTGGTACTCCATGGAGATGGCTGGCATTGTCTGCTTCACTGGTGCCAACATCATCACCCAGGCGCGGGAGCTGATTGAGCAGATCGGGTAAGGGCCGAGAAGGCAGCCGTGGGGAGAAGTAGGGGCTGGGAAGATGGAGCCAGTATGGTGTCCAGGGATTTCACACTTGGTTCTTTAGTACATGAGCCTGTGGCCCCATGTCTGAGGCCTGACTCCTCTTTCTCTGAAGGAGGCCCTTAGAACTGGACACGGATGGAATATGGTGTGTGCTGCCAAATAGCTTCCCAGAAAACTTTGTCATTAAGACCACCAACTTGAAGAAGCCCAAGGTGACCGTGTCTTACCCTGGGGCCATGTTGAACATCATGGTCAAGGTGAGTCTGGGCTGCCAGCCGGGGTGCACCTCATCGGGGCAGGGCCTCCTGTCACCTTTCTCTTTCCAGCCTTGTCCCTTAGCAGGCCAGGTTGTCTCCCGGTAGCCTGAGGCCCTGGGTCAGACTGCCGTGGCCAGACGTTCTTTCTCCTTCAGCACAGCACCCACTTTTTGATTTTCCTTTTTTTAAAATTTAATTTAATTTTATCCCATTCCCCCAGCCCTCTCCCTTCCCTATGCACAAAAGCTTTGTTTCCATTTTTTCCTTCTATTTTCACTGTATTTCTTTTCCTTCCTTCCTTTCTCTTTTCCCCTTCTCATTTGAACACTTTCTTCCCAACATCCATTATACATCACAGCCCTTATTTCCACGTTCAGTTTCTCACACCAGAGAAACAGTGCGGTATTCAAACATGTGTGTCCGATTCATTTCACTTAAGAGTATGGTCTCACGGTCCATCCATTTAGCTAGAAATGTCTGAAGCTCATCCTTCTTTTTGGGGGGTTGGTTTTTTGTTTTTTTTTTGGTACTGGGGATCGAACTCAGGACCTTGCGCTTGCGAGGCAGGTGGCGGAACCACTGAGCTAAATCCCTGGCGCCCCCCCCCCCCTTATTTTAAAAAATTTTTTTTGGTATTGGGGATCGAACTCACCACCTTGCACTTGCGAGGCAGGTACGGTGCCACTGAGCTACCAAAGCCTTATTTTTTGAGGCAGATTCTCACTAAGTTAACCAGGCTGGGCTCGATCTTGGGATCCTCCTGCCTCAGTCTCCCAAGTGAGTGAGGTTACAGGTGTGCACCAGCACGCTCTACCCTTCTACTGGAATTATTAGCTGGAATGCTGTGTGGAAATCGTCACTCTCCCGTTATTCCCTTATTTGTTCATTGGTTCCTTTATTTATATCTGCATGGATTGTGGGTGTTTATTATATCTGGTTTATAATCCAGCTCTATCCTCATGTATTTTGTTTTTCACTTTATTCCCTATTGGCTGCTGGGTCTCCTTCATGTGTGCTCTGTGTGCACCACCATGCCTGACTCTTTGTGTTTTGTACTCTTGTTTGGGAGCACTTTTCCTGCATCCTGGCACTGTGCGGCACTCCAGCATTGTATTTTCCTTGCTCGGGTCCTGAAGTTGGGTGGTTCTCCAAGGAGCTGCGCTCCCCACCTAAAGCCCCGGCCACTCCTGGAATGATGTTGGTGCAGCACTTTTGCCTTTTCCAGAAGGTTGTACACATGGGTGCTTAGAGTGTGTAGCCTGGGCTTGGCCGAATGCACCTAAGACAGCACGCTGCTGCATGTATCGGTTTCCTTTCTGCTGCCGGGTTGTATTTGATGTTGGGGAGCCTCCACCTGCTGGCTCGCCCACTCCTGAGGGCTGAAGGGGGTTCCCAGGGTGGGCCTGTGTGAGTGAAGCTGCCCCTTCTCGCTCGCTTCTCAGGAAGGCTTCACCAATGACCAGTACCAGGAGCTGGCTGAGCCTTCTTCGCTCACCTATGTCACCCGCTCGGAGAATAGCATCTTTTTCGAGGTTGATGGACCCTACCTTGCCATGATCCTTCCAGCCTCCAAGGAAGAAGGCAAGAAACTGAAGAAGAGGTAGGGATTGCACAACCTGTGCCTTGCAAAGGATATCATTGATACGAATCGGACCTAACAGCCCAGCAGGAGGAGGGGTCCAGAGCCAGGATGGACAGACCTGATGTTTTTTATTTCTTCATTTTACTGATTAGACAGGAAACAGGAAGACAGACACAAGACAAGGCAACCAGTTCCTCAGGGCTCTGTGTCACCGTGGTGCCACTTTCTCCACAGATATGCGGTGTTCAACGAAGATGGTTCCCTGGCTGAGCTGAAGGGCTTTGAAGTCAAACGCCGTGGGGAGCTGCAGCTGATTAAAATCTTCCAGTCGTCTGTGTTCGAGGCCTTCCTCAAGGGCAGCACACTGGAGGAGGTGTATAGCTCTGTAGCCAAGGTCGCCGACTACTGGCTGGACGTGCTGTATAGCAAGGTAAGGCCACCCACCACTCACCTGGTTGTGAGAGATTGAGGTTTCCCCTCAGCTTGTGTCCAGTAGCAACTCTGAAGAAAATATTTCTTAAAATAACATGATGAGAAAAGGAATCATCAGAAAAATTATCAGAAATCACATCAACTTTGATTTAAAAGTTTTTACAGACTATAAATGCATACATAGTTGGGAGGGTTACTGGGTTCCAAACCCAGAGTCTTGTGCATACGAGGCAAGTGGTGTTTAACAGTTTGCACACAGTGTAATGATCTCAAGGCTGAGGCTTGGTGTGCCGTTTTAAGGTAGTCATGTACTGTAATAGGAGAGCCTGCCCTATGCTCCTCAGGCCAGAGACTTGTGTAGCCCCCAGGAGCAGAGTCCAAGGTGAGCTCAGGCTCCAGCACCTCAGCATCTGAGCCTGGGTTTTAGTCGTTGCTTCTTCCTCCAGGCAGCTGACATGCCAGATTCTGAGCTATTTGAGCTGATCTCTGAGAACCGCTCCATGTCTCGGAAGTTAGAAGACTACGGGGAGCAGAAGTCCACATCCATCAGCACAGCAAAGCGCCTGGCTGAGTTCCTGGGTGACCAGATGGTCAAGGATGCAGGGCTGAGCTGCCGTTACATCATTTCCCGCAAGCCTGAGGGCTCTCCCGTCACCGAGAGGTAAGGGCTTGGAGAACAGGATGCTGGCTGCCCGCAGAATGGAGAACTCCTTGGGAAGAACATGGGGCAGTTTTGTTGAAGAAGGCAGGCTGACCTCTGGTCCCCAGGTCCAGTTCTAGGAAGGCCTTGCTGGGGTCCCTGTGGGCTCTGGAGAGGGTGTGGCAAGCCCAGAGAACCAGGGCTTATGGGAATTGGCCTCTCACCATTATGGGTGTAGATGTGTGTGTCCTGGAGACCAGGTGTGACCATCCCATCACTAGGTCAAGGTCCAGTTGGAGCAGAGTTCAGGTCCCTCATCTAGTTGATGCTGCCACTGCCCCAGTGGGAGTGATCCTGTAATAAGCCATACAGAGAAGTACTCTGGCATCTGAGCAGCTCCTTTTGATGCCAGTGCCACCTCTCTTGGTCCCCTGTGCCGATAAGGAGGAAGTGTTCTCCAGCTCTTACAATACATCAAGGGCAACAGCAAAGGATTCCATCAGATTGGCAGCTTCTGCTCCCACCAGGCAACAGCAACCACATGTCCAGGGACTGGGAATGCGATGGGATGCCATGATTTCCTGTGGGTGGTGTGCAGAATAAAGAAAGAAAGGGCTTGACCTTAGTGTAGTGTTTGTCATATTTCCTACCCTGGGGAACCTGAGGACCAAGAGTAGAGGCAAGAGGTCCTAGGTCCCTTTCAGAGGAACTAGAAGCTTGTCTGGTCTCTTTGGTGTCTTTGATGCTTCCTGAAGTAACCGAAATCCTCTCCTGGAGAGCTGAGCCTGGCCCCTCATCTGGAGTCTGAGTGGCCTGTGATGGAAGGAACCTGGTGGAAAGAGTTTTAGACTTCAAGCCCTAGTTGACACAGGCCTTTGGAACCAATGGGGCCTGTGTGGAGGGAGCCCACCAGCAGCACCTGTAGCTATATGAATGACCACTTCAATGAGGCTGTGTGGGCGACAGACTCATGAGCACAGCCACTGAAGGTCAGTTGGCTGATAACATTGGTGACACATCTACCTGCAGAGACCTATAGGGAAGAGAAAATAAACACCATGTGTTTTCTGTCAAGAAAAATTCCCGTTGTTGGGCTTGGTGGTGCACACCTGTAATCCCAGCACCCAGGAAAATTGCTGCAAGTTAGAGGCTAGTCTGGACTACATCATGAGTTCAAGGCCAGTGTGAACTATATAGCAAGACCCTGTCACAAAAAAACAAAAACAAAATGAAAGAACAGAAGCCCCAGTCATAACAGAAGGAAAAGAAATTGAACCTAAAATTAAGAGTGAAATAGCATTCCTACAAATCAGTGAGAAAAGCAACCCCAAGAGAAAAGTGGACACTGGATCAGAATAGCACTTCACAGTGAAGAGCTGATGGCTGACACGTTCATAGATGAGCAAACTCCTGGCATCCTGGAGATGTGGCTTTACTGGCATCAGCAGAGTTGGAAATAGATGCTGAGAACGGTGTTTTGTTTTTTTGTTTTCTCGGTTTTTGGAGACAGGGTCTCACAGTGTAGTTCAGGCCGGCCTTGAACTCATGGTGATCCTCCTCCCTCAGCCTGTCCAGTCCTGGGATTACAGGCGTGCACCACCAAGCCTGAGAATGGTTTGTATTGAGCAGGTAGACTGGCTCTCAGCATGGCGCTGGGAGAGTGGTCATCACTCTCACTTGGAGTGGACCCGGCCAGGGTGGAACCAGAGGCCACAGGGCACCTCTGAGCTGTGCCGCAGTGGCCTCGTGCTCATCACACCATGTTTGGCACCAGATTGAGAATTGAGTAAATGTCCACTACATAGAAATGAATAAGTCAAGGTGTTTGAGGATGAAAACACTGTGCAGGAGTTGAACAGCCTTAACTACACTCTCACGAAGCAGCACTGGAGAGCTCAAGTTAGCGTTGAGCCCTGACTGTCATCCACTGAAACCAAAAAGCTGGAAACTGCCTTTTCGTGCCCGTGTGCAAACGGGAACAGCATAAATGTATGCATGGAATTAAGAAACGCCACCACAGTGCTCAAGCTTGCTAATCTTTTTTTCCTCATACGGAGCTGCTTGATGCACGGTGTTGCTGTGTTCCATCTGGGGTTCTTCATAACATTTCACAAAAGTATTTTGTCCAGTGAGAGAGATTACTGAGAGTTCCCGCTGCCTTGCTGGTGACAAGATGACTGGCTTCTTGTTTCTAGAACTGGCCCAGCTCTGGTGTGCTTTACCCAGGGATGAATTTTTGACATGTTCCCTTGTGTGCGTGCGGGGACCTGAAGAATTTGGTGGGCAGTGCTGTTAGCTGTGGCTGCACACCGGAAACACCAAGTGGCCAGTGTGAGGGGTGTCTATTAGTGTAATGGAGAATCATAAACGTTATACATTAGAGTTTGTACAGAATAACACTTTTTAAAATGTAAGTTACAGACGGTTACAGATCCTCATTTCCACATATGTTTAGTAAGAATGGCACTGGGGTTCAGTGATTTCACTGTGAGTTTCCCCCTCCTCCCCTCACCTAGGGCCATCCCGCTTGCCATTTTCCAAGCAGAGCCCACCGTAAGGAAGCACTTTCTCCGGAAATGGCTTAAGAGCTCATCCCTTCAGGACTTTGATATTCGAACAGTGAGTGCCAATATTTTCTACTCTCAGAAGTTTAAAAAGAGAGATGGTCAAGCAGATTATACCTGACCTGGGTCATCTGTTTTGTCTGGAATCTTCACTCCAGCTTCCTCCACTCTGAGGTGTGATGGTGAGGAAGCAATGTGTTGGTGGCACATGTGGAAAAACTGCATGTCAGGGAGGCCCTTGGGCTGTTCTCCTGGGCAGAGGGCTATGGACAGGTTGGCCGCCTCCAATCTGTGATCCTGGGGGAGCCAATGAATCTCTCTGCCAGGTTTCCTCCTCTCAAGTAGGCATCTTGCATCGTGCAATTTCCAGAGCATTCATCACTCTCACTGTGTGTTCTGTACACACAGATTCTGGATTGGGACTACTACATAGAACGCCTGGGGAGTGCTGTCCAGAAGATCATCACCATCCCTGCGGCTCTGCAGCAGGTGAGGCCGGGAGCTGGTGGGCAGGCCCAGCATAGTTGGGACCAGCAGAGATAGACAGAGGTCTCCCCTGATTGGGGTCATCTTCGTGCAGGTGAAGAACCCAGTGCCACGCGTCAAACACCCAGACTGGCTGCACAAAAAGCTGCTGGAGAAGAGTGACATCTACAAGCAGAAGAAGATCAGTGAGCTTTTCGTTCTTGAGGGCAAGAGACAGGTAACCAGCCAGGCCAGGAACAGGGCCAGGGCCTTGGCATTGAGCTACATCCTCAGCCCTTTCTTATTTTTTATTTTAAGACAGGGTCTTGCAAAGTTGCCCAGCCTGGGCTTGAACTTGAAATCCTCCTGCCTCAGCCCCCTAGAGTGCTTCAAGGGTGTGCACAACCACACTCATCTTGAAGAGCTATCTTACATATTGAAATATACAATTAGATTCAGTGACTTGTAGTGAATCACTGTTCCTGTAGCCTCAGTTTTCTCAACACAGTTGAAAATTGTTACAGTACAATGAAAAGTATAGCTAAAATCAAAAGAGCAAAGAGATTTTCAAGCTGAAAAGTACTTAAAAAGTGAGCCATAAACTACAGCATTATAGAAATTCACCTGATAAAAAGACACATTCTCGGGGCCAGGGATTTAGCTCAGTGGTTCTGCCACCTGCCTTGCAAGTGCAAGGACCCGAGTTCCATCTCCGGTACCAAAAAAAAAACAAAACACCACTTTCTCACATAGTCTGTTAAAGATTTAACCATATCTTACTTGTAAGAGCTGTATCTAAAAAGTAAGAGCACAGTAAAAGGATAAAGATATATGATTGATTGATAGATAGATAGATAGATTAGATAGATAGATAAAAGAGAAAACTAAAAGGAAGGAGAGAGAACAAGTAAATGTTAATGAAAAGTAGATAGATATAGGGCCGGGGATTTAGCTCAGTGGATTTGCCGCCTGCTGTGTAAGCGCAAGGACCCGAGTTTGATCCCCGGTACCAAAAAGAAGATAGACATAGCTATATTAGTGCCAGACAATATTCTTTAAGCCAAAAAAATTAGCAGGCACAGGACAGTTATTGAATAATACTGGAGGGCTGAGGATTTAGCTCAGTGGTGCCGCACCTGCCTTGTAAGCACAAGGTCCTGAGTTCAATCCGCAGTACCACAAAAGAAAAAAAGAATAATACTGGAACTCATTTACTGGGAATGCATAATTCTAGCAGTGTAGCCTCAGATCTAATAAATGTAAAATTTTACCTAATTATGAGAAAAATTGACATTCAATCAGTTTAGGAGATTTTGACATAACTCTCAACTAGTTAAATTTAGTTAACAAATAGAATCTGACACTCATTAATTAGAGAATAAAGAAGAAGAAAAACAGCTCATTTGGTAACCTTGGGAGAGCTTGGTAACAGAATTGATGACAGTATACGAAAGGAAGTTTTAGGCCATTTTCACTTAATGAACAGTAGATGCAAGAATATTAACCCCTGAGTTCTATCCAGTATAAAGAGCATAGCATTATGACAAAGCAAAAATTATGACAGGAGTAGCAAGCTTTTTTAACTTTAGTAATCTACTGGTTTAATTTTTCTTTGGGGAAGTATTTAATTCTTCATTAAAGGAGAAGGCTCTTGGAACATCTCAGATATAGAGAGAACATTTGATGAGTGTGTTTGGGATAAAACTTTGAATAATCAGAATTAAAACAGATAAGGTGTTTTTAGTCTGATAGAGCACTTCGCACAATCCTGAGGCAGACCTCCACTTGGCAGAACATGGGAGCATTGCAGTAAGGGATTAGCGCCTTCTTATCAATAGTATTTGGAGGTCGTCATTAAACAAATAAGGGGCTTTGGGAGAAGGCTTTGTGTTCTGTTTGTGTGGCATGGGAGATTGAACCCAGGCAGCACTGAGCTACATCTTTTTTTTTTTTTTTAATTTTGTTGATTTTGTTCTGTTTTTGTTTGGGGTGTTTTTTGGTTGGTGAGACAGTCTCATTAAGTTGTCCAGGCTGGCCTCAAACTTGTGATCCTCCTGCATCAGCCTCCCAAGTAGCTGGGATTTGAAACTCATTATTTCCAGATAATGTGGTTTGTTAATATGAAATGTTTGTGGGGTTGTTGTGTTTTGGTACTGGGGATCGAACTCAGGACTTTGTGTTTGCCAGACAGGCGTGATGCCACTGAGCTAAATCCCCAGCCCTGTTAATATGAAATGCTCCAATTTTAGTATATGTGCTGCCGGAGTGAGCACTGTTAATGTGAAATGTAAGGAACCAGCCCTACATGGTGATATATGCCTATAATCCCAACTATTCAGAAGGTTCTCTGCAAGTCGAGGCCAGTCTGAACTACATAGTGAGACCCTATCTCAAAAAACAAAAGAAGCATAGAAGTCACCAAGATATAATCTCAAGAAAATAGTTGAGGGGCAGGGATGTAGCTCAGTGGTACCGTGCCTGCTTGGCAAGTGCAAGGTCCTGAGTTTGATCCTCAGTACTGGGAAAAAAAAAAAAGAAAGAAAAAGATAACAAGTGATCTATTGCTGTGTGGCAAATGACTCCAAAATGTAGCAACTTCACACATTTGTTGCAGGCCACACTTTCTGAAGGTCGGGGTCCTTGGTTAGGGCCTCACAGGCTCCCATCAAGGCGTTGACTGGGACTGTAGCCTCTCCTGAAGGCTCAGCTGGGAAGGGCTGCTTTGCTGTCCCTCTGATGATAGTCACAGGCTCTTTTTGGTTCCATGCTGCCCATGGGATGGATTGTAGAATAGCAGCTAGCACTCAGAGCAAGCACTGTTGAGCAGGGAAATACATCTTTTGCAAAAGAAGAGACCATGAGATGGAGGTGGAGGATGAAAAAAAGAATTGAGATGTGTTATGTATGTGAATGAACTCTCCCCCAAGGAATATAATCATTACATGCTGTAAACATACTAATAAAAATTGGGAGGAAGGCAGGTCAGGAGTGAACATGAGGAGATGAAGTTACTGGGCACTCACTACAAGGTGCTGGACCTCACTGCTAGTTAGCCTTACACAGCATGCAGTGTTAGATTGCCAGTCACACCAGAGAATAAGAGGGTGACATCCAGTGTTAGAACTCGGGGAAGAGGGAGGCAAAGGTAGCATGTACGGAGATGGGTACCTAGCCACGATCCACAGCTTTGGATAGTGGGAACTAGCTGTTCGCCATCTAGAAAGCGATGGATAGTGGCTGGTGTTTGTACAAGAGAATGTTTTACAGCAGTCAGGTGAATGGCTGCATGCATGGCGTCGGGCATCTGTCTCTAAGACACAGCCAAGAGACCCGTGGGTTTCAGCATGGTGCATACCACATGTCAGTGCAGCTGTTCCTTGGTACTCAACTGCTTTATAACTTGATGAATTTGGTACTTAATGGTTTTGGGGGGGGGGGGTTTGTTACCGGGGATCGAACTTAGGTCCTTGCGCTTGCACAGCAAGCGTCGAAACTGAGCCAAATCCCCGGCCCTGGTACTTAATGGGTTTTGACACAGAACTTTTGTCCCAATACTCATCGTGTGTTTAGTACTCGATACATAAACTAGAACTTGTCAGTGTTGGTTGCCTCAAGACTCACTACCCTGTCCAGACAAAACCATTTGGTACTTGGCATTTTGGGTATTTATTGCACCTCCTGAAACCAATTAACGACAAATACCAAGGTCCCACTGTATTTATATAAAACTAAACCAGCTGTGGTGTGTGTTGTTTGTGGTCGCGTAGTGAAAGTATAAAATTAGGCAAAATGAGGCATGTTAGAGGAGGGAGGGAGGGTTCAGCTATTATTTGTAATACAGTGATACCTTGCTTCACAAATGCTTTTGTTTGTGAATATTTTGGTTCTCAAACAGAAGCATTTGGCAAAATTTTGTCGGTTTTGTTTTGTGTGTGAACTCTGCATTTGGTGATGAACATGACCACGGCCATCTTTCCCACATGAACACGAATGTGCCCATCTTTTCCAAAATCATACTACGAATTAAGTTCGTGAAGCAAGGTACCACTGTATTTTATTTTTTATAAAAGAGGAACATTCGTCAGCAGTCATGGCAGCATGCAAACATAGTTATTGGTGGCATTGAGTGATACTATTTTCTGAAGTTTCCTGTTTATCTATTAAAAGTTTAGTTCCTCTCTAAATCAACATCCTATTTCAGGCGATTTGCTTGTGTTAGATTTCTTTTTTTTTCGTACCAGAGATCGAACTTGGAACCTTGCGCTTGTGAGGCAGGTGCCAGAACCACTGAGCTAAATCCCTGGCTAAAACTCAGAGTAAAGAACTTTTTTTTATTTTTATTTTTTGTACTGGGGATCAAACTCAGGACCTTGTGCTTGTGAGGCAGGCAGTGGAACCAGTGAGCTAAATCCCTGGCCTGCTTGTGTTAGATTTCTAAGGTAGGTTATGGGAATGGGATTCTGAGTTTTAAGGCTTGGTTGGATCTTTCCAGATTGTGATGGCCCAGGCCCCAGAAGGCAGCGCGAGGCCTGGTGCTCCTGACATAGAGGACTTCGGCATTTCAAAGCCACCCCACCCCATGGTCCCTGTTGCCACAAAGAGGAAGCGAGTCCTCTGGGAGAGCCAGGAGGAGTCTCAGGACCTCATGCTGATTGTGCCCTGGCAGGAGATCCTGGGGCAGCCTCCCACCCTTGGAACCACCCAGGTGAGAGGCTGTTGTGGCAGAGGTTGCAGTGGCAGAGGTTGTGGTGCTTGCTCTCCGAGAGCTCTGCTGTGCAGTGCAGGGCTCCAAGGCAAGGCCTTGTCCTGGGAAGAGGCTGTGAAGATGCTTGGTTGTCACAGTGCTCGGAGGCTGCTAAGACTGAGAAAGTGAGCTATCACAGAAGGGCACTGCTGCCTCACCATGAATGCTTTGGTTGCTCCCATCTGTCCCAGGAAGAGTGGCTGGTCTGGCTCCAGTTTCATAAGAAGAAATGGCAATTGCAGGCCCGACAGCGCTTGGCCCAAAGGAAGAGGCAGCGTCTGGAGTCGGTAAAGGGTGCATTGAGGCATGCGGCCCTCAGAGATGGGCCTGCCATGGGGCTGGGCAGCTTCCTACAGAGAACAGCCCGCAGTGTTCTGGACCTTCCATGGCAGATTGTGCAGGTATGCACCTTGGTCCAAGGATGAAGACACCCCCTGAGGGCAGTAGCAGCCTGAAGTCTGGAATGGAGAAAGGTTTAGCTCTCTGCCCATCACAGGGCCCTTGGCACCTGTGCCTGGGCAGGGCTGGAGGCTGCTGGGAGGTGGCCCACTCATAGGTGTCAGCGTGTTCTATGACATGCTGTGTTCTGCTTTCCTTCAGATCAGTGAGACCAGCCAGACCGGCCTGTTCCGGCTGTGGGCCGTCATCGGCAGTGACTTGCACTGCATCAAGCTGAGCATCCCCCGAGTGTTCTATGTGAACCAACGGGTGGCCAGAGCAGAGGAGGGGGTTACCTGTCGCAAGGTAAGGAGGCTTCGGGCATTGCTGTTCCCTGCAGTCACCTCTGAGGTGCTACCACAGGATAAGAGCCACATAGAGTTGGTGAGGGGCTAGGGTGTAGCCCAGTGGAAGCGCACTCGCCTAGCATGTGTGAGCCCTTGGGTTTCATCCCCAACACCACAAAAAAGGGGGAAAACCATTTACCGGAAACCAGGGCTTTGCAGACACCAGTACCTGGTGAGCTGTCTGGCCTCCTTGGGATGTTGTAAGAACTACTCGAAATGATGTTTGAGAGCCAGAGCAAATACTCAGGTGAGAGCTGCTGCTGTCATTGTCATGATGAGCTGAGTAGTCCCCTTTGCTGTCCACCCCTGTCCTGAAGAGTGGGTATGTCTCTGAAGCAGGGGACATCTAGACATTTGTTAGAGGTTGCAAACTGTTTCCATAGGTGCTGTTGTTAAAAGCTTTATTAAAATACAAATCTGTGCTCCATATAATCGATCCATTTAAAGGGCTCAATTCAATGCCTTTTAGTGAATTCATGGAGTGTGCATCTAGAGCCATGGTCAATTTTAAGACATTGTCATCACCCCAAAAAGAAGCCTCTGATCCCCACTTCTCCCTTCAGCCCCAGAACCACTGGCCCACTGTGTCTGCAGACTGGCCTGCTCTGGACATTCCAGATGAATGGAGCCATGCAGCAGGCATGGTGGCTTTCTTGCTGAGATTCTTCTCCTTAACTGAATGTCTGTGAGAAGTGTCACCTTGTAACTCATCCTTGTAGGCTCTTAGGTGGTATCTCATTCGGAGCGCCCCCATTAACCCAGCCTGTTAACTCTGCCTAAAGCTGGTTTATGAGATGGTCTTATGTGCATTTCTTGGTTGAATGCTGTTCAGTACATACCGAGTGACACTTGTGTGAGCAGTTGTGGCCTGCCTGAGGTACACCGTGTTTTCCAGCCCTGTGTGTAGCAGTGCTCCACGTGTGCACGTGTCCCAAGTGGGCTGTTTCCAGTTAAAGCCACCGTGGGTACCTGTGGCACATGCTCTTTGTACTTGTGGGGGTGCCTCAGGTATACTTCTGGAAAGTATTTCTTAAACTCGTACTCAACCTTCTAAGTCTGGCCTCTTTGAACGAAGATCACCATTGGGGTTCACTCAGAGGGGAGACCAGGGAACTCCTTGCCCCTGGATCTGCTGCAAACTCTGGCTCCCCAGGCCGTTCTTCAGACCCCATGGCTCCTCTGCATTTAGTGGGAGAGACAGTGGAGTGTGATTGCACACTGCAAAAATCTTTTTCTTTTTTTTTCTTTTTTTTGTCAGGTTGGATAATTTCAGTTAACTTAAGGTTTACTGACAATTTTCTGGTTTTTAAGTTTTAATTAATTTTTTTGCTGGTGTTTTTGTTTTTGTTTTCTCCAATACCGGGGATTGAACTCAGGACCTTGTGCTTGCAAGGCTGGCGCAGCGCCACTGAACTAAACCTCTGCCCCTGTTTTGTTTGTTTTTTGACACAGGCTCTTGCTATGCAGTCCAGGCTGGCCTTCAGGCCTTATGTATCTGAGGTTGGCCTTGAACTTGGGATCGTTTTGCCTCAGCCTCCCTAGTGCTGGGATTATAGGCACGCATTATTATGCCCAGCTAATTTTCTCTTGTCTTTATTCTACTATTTAACTCATCAGGGAAACTACTTCAGATGCTTTGTTTTTTCAGTAGTAAATTTCCATTAGCTCTTTTTTATTATTTCCATTTGTCTACTGAGAACCTGTCTTCCCCTTTATTTCAGGGATGGTTGTTTGCTGGTTGGAGCACAGGTATAGGTGCTGCAGTGTCTTTGATAATGGCCATATCTGGATCATCCCAGGGTTGGCACCTGACAACTCTCTTCCTGTTTGAGAAATATTCATGTTTCTCTGGTTATTGTTAATGGCAAGAAACTTTATTGTATCCTGGACATTTTGCACTTGATATTATAAGACTTAGGGCTTTTTTTTTTTGGTTCCAGGAATCGAACTCGGTGCCTTGTGTTTGTGCGGCAGGCGCCGGAACCACTGAGCTAAATCTCCGGCCACTTAGGGCACTTTTTAAACAATCCTTTAGCTAACATTGAGGCAGCTAACCTGGGTTAACTTCAGACCTCCCATCCTTTCTTTTCTATAAAGCGTCCAGTTTCAGTTCTTTGGGTCTGCCTGTGTGTGTGCAGCCAGGGACTTATGTGCCCCATGCACAAAATCAGGGTGCCCTATCGTCCAGCACTCTTACTCTCCAGGACCCTACGCACTCACACTCTCTGGTTGCCCCAGCAGCTCCTTTCTAGTCCTCTGGCCAGGAAAACATGGCTTCTTTTGGATTTTCTGTCTACACCCTCTGTCTAAACTCAGGGGAGATAGGAAAATAAACTGGGAATCTCTTTCCCAGATTGCTGTTGACACCCCAGTTGGAGAGCACTCGTCCACTTTTCAGAGGCTGCAGTTGCTTTTTAAGATTATGTGGATCTTTTAGTTGTAATCATCAGGAAAGGGGGCTGACTGTTGTGAGCACCGGAAGTCAGGAGTCTAAATGGTGCATGACATGGCCATGACGAGTTCCCTTCCCTGCTGTCCCCAGGTGAATCGGGTCCTTCCGCGCTCCAACCTGGTCTACAATCTCTATGAGTATTCAGTGCCAGAGGCCATGTACCAAGAACATATCAATGAGATCAACACCGAGCTGTCAGCGCCGGACATTGAAGGCGTATATGAGACACAGGTAACTCTACAGCCACACAGCTGAACAACTGGGGGAAGAGACTCCTGGGGGCGTGCAGGGCTCTGCCCTATGGGAAGGTGGGTTTCAGCCAAATGTCTGCAGCAGTGGCCAGGCCAGGGCAGTAGCCTCAGGGTGAGCAAAGGGTCAGTCCTGCCGCCTGTCTGCCCACTTTTCCAGGTCCCCTTATTGTTCCGGGCCCTCGTCCAGCTGGGCTGTGTGTGTGTGGTCAACAAGCAGCTGGTACGGCACCTTTCAGGCTGGGAAACTGACACCTTTGCCCTCGAGCACCTGGAGATGCGCTCCTTAGCCCAGTTCAGCTACCTGGAACCAGGTATGGCCTATACCAGCTGCCCCCTTGCTCAGTCTGCTCCTGCCTATCTTGTTGACAGGCCTGCTTCCTTCTGCAGGGAGCATCCGCCACATCTACCTGTACCACCACTCACAGGGCCACAAGGCGCTCTTTGGCATCTTTATCCCTTCACAGCGCAGAGCATCCGTATTTGTGTTGGACACCGTGAGTCCCTGGGCAGGATCAGGCAGGATCAGGCAGGACATGGGGAGGAAAGATGTTCCTGCTGCCCCAGAATCCTGAACAAGGGAGCTAACATGCTGGCCTTGTCCAGGTGCGCAGCAATCAGATGCCCAACCTGGGCACCCTGTATTCTGTGGAGCACAGCCTCCTGCTGGAGAAGGTGGGCCCTGAGCTCCTGCCGCCCCCCAAACACACCTTTGAGGTTCGCGCAGAAACTGACCTGAAGACCATCTGCAGGGCCATGCAGCGCTTCCTGCTTGCCTACAAGGTAAGGGAGCATGATGTCCTGCTATAGGAGCCTCTGCCCCAAGGCTTAGTCCACAAGCCTTTCCTTCCTTTTGTCTACCCCAGGAGGATCGCCGGGGCCCCACCCTCATCGCTGTACAGTCCAGCTGGGAGCTGCGCAGACTGGCCAGTGAGGTTCCCGTCCTAGAGGAGTTCCCACTGGTGCCCATGCGTGTGGCTGACAAGATCAGCTATGGCATCCTGGACTGGCAGCGCCATGGAGCTCGCCGCATGATCCGGCACTACCTCAACCTGGACACCTGCCTGTCACAGGCCTTTGAGATGAGCAGGTGAGCCCTGGCTGGCACCTGGGGGTCCGATCTGGCCATCGCCATTGTCGCAGGAGGTGAACCTGACCCATGCCTCACACAGGTACTTCCACATTCCCATTGGGAACCTGCCCGAAGACATCTCCACCTTTGGCTCTGACCTCTTCTTTGCCCGCCATCTCCAGCGACACAACCACTTGCTCTGGCTGTCTCCTACGGCCCGGCCTGACCTGGGTGGGAAGGAGGCCGACGACAACCGCCTGGTCATGGAGTTTGATGACCGAGCCACAGTGGAGATCAACAGTTCTGGCTGTTACTCCACAGGTGAGTGGACACGGGCCCAGGCTGGGATTTCTGCCATCTGTTGACATCTTCTGGCAGCCATGCTCAATGCTCAGCCATGAGGGTCAAGAGCTGAGGCCCCATACTAGGGGGCTGAGACAGAAGCGTCACAATTTCAAGTCTAGCCTGTGTGACTTAGCAACTTAGCAAGACCCTGTCTCAAAATAAAAAATGAAAAGTCCTGGGATGTGGCTCAGTGAGAAGACCTTGGGTTCAGTCCGCAGTACCTCAAAAAAAAAAAAAAGTTGAGGCCATACAGGAGATGTCCTAGGTCAAAGAATCAGCTGTTGAGTCCCCAGTGGGTTTGAGGTCAGATACTGATCAGAGCACACACCTGCCTGATCTCACTGGGTAGCACTGACTATGCTGGTGGTGGTCGGGCTGAGACTGGGCACCGGGAGGTGGTGCTGGAGCTGGCCAGGGCTGTGGACAAGCAGAGTCTTCCGGCAGTGTGTGTGGAGCTGGACCTTCAGAACCTGGCGGTCAACACCATCCTCCAGTCCCATCATGTCAATGACATGGAGGGTGCCAGCAGCATGGGCATCAGCTTTGACGTGATCCAGCAGGCCTCCCTGGAAGACATGGTCACCGGCAACCAGGCCAGTGCCCCAGCCAGCTACGACGAGGCGGCCCTCTGCTCCAGCACCTTCAGGTACGGCCTCCATCCCCATGCTGCTCTGGGCTGGAATTTGGAAAGCCGAGGCCTGAAGCAATGTCCCAGTCAGCATGGTATCAGTTTCCTGCTCTAGTCAGTGGCCCTGTGGCCCTGTACCATGTCCTACTTGGTTATTGGCCACCTGTCCAGACACTACCTTTGGACCTTCCCTTAGCCAGAGGCCATTGCCTTCCATTGTGACAGGTGTCTATAGGAGTCCTCAATCCTCCACTGAGCAAACTGAATGATCAGCATGGGCTGAGAAGCATTGCGGCTGGGCAGGGGTGCACCTGGTGATGTCATGAAAGGCACCCTTCCTGTGTCCTGGGGCTCACACAGGGCCTCAGTCCTCATACCAGCCTGAGACATGGTGAAGTCATCTGCTGTCTTAAAGGAAGAAACTGAGGTTAGAGGAGCCCACATCATGGAGTTTCGTGGTGCAACTCAGAGCAAGGGTTAGTGTTAGGTCTGGGGTTCCAGAATGAGTGCCTTGGCCTTGTCCTGTTTCTGCCACAAGAGAGGAAGAAAGGTGTCTGTTGGAATGGGAATGACAGGCAGGTAGGGTTGAGGGCTGGAGCAGAGTCCTGAGAGGCAGATGGTAGCAACCCGATGCTGAGACCATGCTAGAGGAAGCAGGTGTGTGTTGAGGAAGCTGCACTGTGCAGCCTCCGTAGGCTCCCTGTTCAGAGTTGTGATCCCTGTGAAATTATTCCACCCCTCAGGTCAAGGTGTGCTTTGAGCCCTCCAGAGGGCTGAGGGCTGGATGTGCTGTCAGTGCCTCACTAGCAGGCACCTGGGGTTCTGCCTGACCATGTCCAGTTTATGTTGCCTGAGCCTCACCCTTGTACCCTCCCTGACATCCCCAGCCCCAGGCCTGGAAAGTCCAAACCCAGCAGGTGACAGCAGGAAGCAAGTGCCAGTTCCTACCTGTGGATCCTGGGCAGGAAGGGTAGGCAGGTAGTGTGGCTTCATGTGGACATGAAGGTTGAGTCCAGTGTGCTGCTCTGCAGGATCTTGAAGAGCATGGTCGTGGGCTGGGTGAAGGAGATCATGCAGTACCACAACATCTACGCCGACAACCAGGTGATGCACTTCTACCGGTGGCTCCGGTCACCCTGCTCTCTGCTCCACGACCCTGCCCTGCACCGCACACTGCACAACTTGATGAAGAAGCTCTTTCTTCAGTGAGTGCCTCCCTGGGTTGGGCTGGGGCTGGGCAGGTACTGGGCTGAGGCTAGGTCTGGGGAGTGGTCCATGAACATTTAGGCTGTGTCTCACCTTGTGCTGTTAGAAACAGTGAATCTGTGCATGGCTTGGTGCTAGGCTGTGCAATGGTATCTCTAGAAGTAGCACCTTTGCAGGCCTAATAGCCATAACTCCTGGGTCAGTGCTGATTTGCTCACCATAGCCAAAGCCTCACAGAGGCTGTGACAGGAACACTTCCTGCTTCACCCTATGGCGAGGTGTGAGTGCTAGCCTCCTGGAGACAGTACTGTCCAACACCATCCTCCTTAACAGTCCTTATGAGTAAAGTTGAGCTTTCTCTTCATGTCCTTTGCCCATTTTTCTGTAGTTTTGCTGGATTTTCTCTTATTAAGCAATCACATAGCCGGGGATATAGCTCAGTGGCACTGTGCCTGCCTCACATACATAAGGCCCTGAGTTTGATCCCCAGTACCCAAAAAAAAAAAAAATCACATAAACCCAGCCACAGTGACACATGCCTATTATCCCAACTACCCAAGAGGCTGATAGAGGAGGACAGGGAGTTCAAGGCCACCCTCCAAAACTTAGTTACCCTGCCTCAAAAAAAAAGAAAAAGAGTAATGAGTTCTCTCTATATAAAAAGAAGCTATTTTTCTGTGACAAGAGCTTCAATCTTTTTTTCTCTCAATTTGTGATTATCTTCTGTTATCTTCTGTTGTGTGTAGTCTTGTCTTTTTTTTTTTTCTCGGTACCAGGGATCAAACTCATGACCTTGCATTTGCAAGACAGACACAGTGCCACTGAGCTAAATCCCTGGCCCTTGTCTTGTCGTTTTGTTTTGTTTTGTTTTGTTTTTTTGAGACCGGGTCTCTCTATATAGTCCAGGCTGGCCTTGAACTCACTTTGTAGCCCAGGCTGGCCTCAAACTCTTGGTGATCCTCCTGCCTTGACTCCCAAGGGCTGGGATTACAGGTGATGTGTGGTGTCTTCTTGCCATGCAGAAGTCCCTGCTGTGCTGAGTGTGGTGGAACAGTCCTCTAGTCCCCACTACTTGGAAGACAGGCAGGAGGAAATTTAGGGCCAGCCTGGCAAAACAGTGAGACCCCATCTCAAAAAGGAAGGAAAGAAAACTGTTCATGTGGCTTCTGTTGTGCGTGTAGTCATGAGGCTTGTTTCTGCGGGTACTAGAGCCCTCTGGTTAGTTGAACCCTGGCACTTCCTACACTGATTGTAAACTTTGTCATAGGCTCATCGCGGAGTTCAAACGCCTGGGCTCGTCAGTCATCTATGCCAACTTCAACCGCATCATCCTCTGTACAAAGAAGCGTAGGATAGAGGACGCCATTGCCTATGTGGAGTACATCACCAACAGGTGGGATAGGTGGCAAGTCCTGGCATAGAGGGGCCCTAAAGGTGGTGATCCTTGGGGCAGAGCATTCACCAAGAGCCAAGCCACACAGCCTGAGGAAGGGTGCCTCCTGCTGTCTGGAGTGCACATTTGTGGGCCACTCAGTGTCAGGCGTGGTGCTGGAGTTTGGGACACTCGGGCAGGGCCTGTTGTCAGTAAGAAGGCTCCCGAAGGTTCTGGTATCCAGACCTTGCACGGCCCTGGGAGTGCAGTGGCCTGGAGTGATCCGTCTGCACAGCTGTGGGCTGGTGGAACTGGCATTTTAGGCCTAGCTCAGGCAGAATGCCTGACTGTGTCCCCAAGGCTCCTGGTGCCTGCCTGACTAGTTGTATCCCAGAGACTGATGGAACAAGACAAAAAGCACAACTTTTTTTTTTTTTTTTTTTTTTGGTACCGGGGATTGAACTTGGGCCTAGGGCCTTTTTATTATCTTTTATTCTGAGCTACATCCCTAGTCCCTTTTTGTTATTTTTTATTTTGATACAGTCCCACTAAGTCTCTGAGTTGTCCAAGCTGGGCTTGAACTTGCCGTCCTCCTGTCTCGGTCTCCCAGAGTGCTATGATTATGGGCATGCACCACCACACCCAGTGAAGGAATGATTTATAATGGAGCTCATGCATTGGGGTAGGGATGAAGCATGCTCTAAATGCAGAAATTGGTAATGGAAGTGCAGGGGTCTGGGTAGATCTGGCTGTGTATGAGTCTTGTGGAGGAAGAGGCTGTCCCTCCAGTCAGTGCACACAGACCACTGTGCTCCTGCAGGCCGGCTGTGTGCCTGTCCACATGGCCAGGTCCACAGCAAGCTGTCTGTCTGTGAGGGTCTCCCTGTGCCTGGCAGGTGGCCTGGTCCACAGTGTGAAGAGGGCTCGATGGGGCAAGGCTGGGCCTCTGTCCTCAACTGGGCCCTGTGAGAAATGGCTGCTGTTACGCACCTGGACTGAGAGTGGTCAGGACTGTGCAGGAGCAGCTGCAGCCTAGGATACTCACTGCACTGAAGGGCTCCGATGATTTCCTTCCTCCCCCAGCCTTCCTCTTTATCCCCTTGGGTGCAGAGCATGAGGTCAGCCGCAGGAGCCACCTTGCCAGAGGTGGGGGTCGTGATAAGGATGAAGACAGTAGGAAGCCTTGTGGCCAGTCCCCTGCCACTTCCCCACATGGAGTGCCCAGGCCCTTCCATGGCCATCGGCTCAGGGTGTAGCTAGTCCCTGAGCAGTGTCCTCACCGTCTTGTGTGTCACTTCCTCTGAGAAATTTGGGGGATAGTCTGCACACACTTCAAGTTCACTTGAAGTCAAGAGGACGGTGAGTATCTGGCTGCTCAGAAGAAAGGGGAGCCGTTGGTTTCATGGAAGCAGTTTCTGTTTGGTTTCTCTGCAGCATCCATTCCAAAGAGATCTTCCATTCCCTGACCATTACCTTCTCTCGATGCTGGGAGTTCCTTCTCTGGATGGATCCGTCTAACTATGGTGGAATCAAAGGGAAAGTTCCCTCCAGTGTTCACTGTGGCCAGGTGAGAGCTAGCAGAGTTGGGGGGGGTGGGGGTGTGAGGCCTGCATTCGCTCACTACGAGCTTGAGGCTTATGAGGAAAGGTGGGTAGCACGCAGGTAAGTGCAGAGCCAGCATCAGCTGGGGCCAAGGGTCATGGGAAGCCCTTTGGGAAGGAGGCTGGTGCTGAGGCCAAGGCTGCCCTGATGCCGTGGCTCCATGGAGACCGACAGGAAGAGCAGCCCTGGTTGGGGTTGAGGGTTAGGGTCAAACCTGGGACTCAGAAGAAAGATGGTGTAGACAACAGTTCTCAGCAGGGTTTAAGAGGTCAGGGCTCGTGTAGATGTAAGTTCAGCACTTCCAGCAGGCCAGGCCATGCTGAAGGGACATCCACATAAAGCTGGGTCTGCATACTGGCTGTGAGCTCCTGCTTGGGCAGTTCTCCTGCCTCAGCCTTCCAGATGCTGAAACTGCAAGGCCTGTGCCACCATACTTTCTTAAACTCAGAAGGAAGAGCTGATCATGAAGCTCTGGCTGATCCTTCCTCTCAGGAGGTGGGAGTTGAATAATCGCAGAGCCCTGATTCTTGGAGCATCCACTGGCAGGACTGACCAGGGCTCAGGGCCGAGAGACCTAGACTCTAGGAACCTCTTCTGGCAGCACATGGCCGGTCTGTTATAGCAGGATTCCCAGAAAAGAGAGGGAGCAGAGGATGAACAGGAAGACGAGGAGGACCAGGAGGAGGAACCAGAGGAGGAGGAGCAGGGAGTGGAGGAATCCGACGTGGAGGACTTACTGGAAAACAACTGGAACATCTTGCAGTTTTTGCCGCAGGCAGCCTCCTGCCAAAGCTACTTCCTCATGATTGTGTCAGGTGAGCCCAGAGCACGGTGGCTGGCTCAGAGCTGGTGAAAGCAGCTCTGGTTCCATGCCTCACTCCTGCCCCAGGCAGTGGAAAGGGTGTCTCTCCAGCCACCTCTTCTCCAGGAGCCAGGAGCAGCTGCCCCCAGGATGTTAGCAAGACGTTTTCCTGATTTGGTTCCCCAGCTATACTTGGCATAGCGTGCTCAAGCACGTGTGTGTGTGTGTGTGTGTGTGTGTGTTTGTGTGTGCACATGCTTGATAACAGAGGCTGGAACCCTGCACCAGCTCCAGCAGCCTGGCCTCTGTGGCCCAACTTGCCACACTCAGCCATAGCTGAGGGTTTAGTGTTTGCAGACCAGGTTGTCACAGTTGAACACAAATGAGGTAATAAGGTAAACAGCCTTTGTGATTCAGGGCCATTCATTGGAGCACAATATTGGTGAGCAGTCAGACACACACATTTACACACATACATCTGCAGTGGCAGAGATGGTGGCACTGAGGATTGTTTGTGATTTTGTCTACTCCTTGAGTCTTGAACTTTTAGGCTTGTGGACTCAGAGGAGCGTAGAGAAGTTTGCTGGTGTGAGGACCCAGCCACTTTCTTGCTTCTGTCTGTCCTCACACCACTCTCTGCAAGTCCCCTTCTTAGGTTCACTTTGCTGATTTTCCACTCATCCGAGGGTAGCAGATACAGTCATCACTAACAGTGAATCTCAGCTAAGTCTGTTGGGAGGTCTGACACCAGCCCCGTGGCCCCTCCCCTCAGATTGTGGGGTGCCTGCCTGTCTCCGCAGCGTACATTGTGGCTGTGTACCACAGCATGAAGGGTGAACTGAGGCACAGTGCCCCGGGCAGCACACCTGTGAAGAGGAGGGGACCCAGTCAGTTCTCCCAGGAGACCGAGGGGACAGCTGGAGCCCTTCCTGGTAAGCAGTCCCATTTCACGTGAGGCCAGCACTGTGCTGTGACCTGACCCTGCTGCACACCTGTTGTTGGCAGGGAGGAGGGCCTGGTGCCAGGCAAACTGACTCCTTCCCTGCATCTTTTATCTCTCCCCAGGAGTGATCACCTTCTCCCAAGATTACGTGGCCAATGAGCTCACTCAGAACTTCTTCACCATCACGCAGAAGATTCAGAAGAAAGTCACAGGCTCCCGACACTCCACCAAGCCCTCTGAGATGTTTCCTCTGCTGCCTGGCTCACACTTGCTGCTCAATAACCCTGCTCTGGAGTTCATCAAATACGTGTGCAAGGTGAGGGCCAGGCAAGGGTCCCACAGTCATGCACCAGGCTTGCTGTGCTGCTTGGGCTCAGGTGATCCAAGCAGGAGAGGCCCTGCCTGATGGAGCCTGAGCTGGGGCAGACGGGCCAGTCCTGAGGCGAGATGCTGAGAGGGACGCCGGCCAGGCCCAGGTACAGATGCAGCGGCCCTGGAGTGGGAGCTTGGTGTGCTGGTGAATGTCTTAGCCAGGCGGGGCACAGGCAGCAGGAGGGAGGACCTTGTGGGTCACATGCCACCAGCGGCCAGAGGAGCCACAACTAAACTCAGAGATCAAATGATGTGACATGAGAGCTTGCTTTTCAAGAAAGGCGGGCCAAGACCAGTAGGGTGATATTACCAGGTAGAGACCTGGTGGCGCCATGCCTCACAAAGCATTTGTTGTCTAGTGCCACTACCTGAGTGTCCTAGCAAATCACATCAGCCCTGCCAGTCAAGTGCTGAAGACCAAGTTCTTTAGAGGAATTCGAACCCTAAAATGCTTTTTTTTTTTTAATGCTTTGTTTTTATTGAGGCGTAATTGACATATGGTCATGTGCATCTATGAGGCTCACTAGGCTCAGGCCCCCTCCCCTCCCCCAGCGGCAAGGCCGCGTCCCAGCCCTTCTTAGCACTAGGTGACCAGGTGTGCCCTCCACCCCTGCGCTGCTTCACTTTAGGTTTCTGTGATTGGAGTGCAGAGGAGAGCAGCTGTGGAGATGTCCCTGGGCACCACTTGTCAGCCTCCCTACCAGAGGACCGCATAGGTAGAATCCCACTGTGCAGCCCCCAGGTCTGGCTTCATACGCGCTGCAATGTGCACGTGGGATTTATCCAGTTACGGGCCACGTCTACTCCCCATCGCTCAAAGTGTCTGTGGCACGTGGACAGTTGGCCTGCAATCTGCTTCATGTTCACTGGTGCACGGGCATCTGAGTTGTTTTCACTTTTTGGTGATTAATAACAAAGCCACTGTGAACAGTCTTTTAAGGGTTTTCATGTGAACCCACATTTGTCTTGGGTAAAAACCCAGGAGAGGAATTGCTGGACCAGCAGAAAGTGCTGGACTCTGCAAGAGGCTGTAAAGCAGCTACAGCAGTGGCCAAAGCTGCTCCTATTCCACAGCCTCACCAGAACTCTGTGCTGTTCGTTTTTTAAATTTTTGCTATTCAGATGTGTATGTGGTAGAATCTCCTTATGGTTTTGTTTTGCATTTACCTAATGACTAATGACGCTGAGCACTTTTCATGGACTTGTTTGCTGTCCCATTGTTTGGTAAAGTATTTAAATCTTTTGCCCATTTTGCCCTCCTCGCCCTCTGTCTTCCTCCCTCCTTTCTTCCCTCCCTTCCTCCCTTCTTTCATCCTTCCTACCTCTCTCTCTCTCTCTCTCTCTCTCTCTCTCTCTCTCTCATTTGGTTCATTTTTAGTTTTTTGGGGGTTTTTTTGGTACCCAGGATCAAACTCGGGTCTTTGCGCTTGAGTAGCAGGCAGCAAAACCACTGAGCTAAATCCCCAGCCCCTCTACATTTTTTTTCCCTACATTTTTTTTTTTAGTTCCAGGGATCGAACTCGGGACCTTGCGCTTGTGAGGCAGGCAGCGGAGCCACTGAGCTAAATCCCCAGCCCTCTACTTTTTTGTTGTTGTTGTTGTTAGATGTTTGCAGTACATAAAGATTACATTCATCACCGGGGATTTAGCTCAGTGGTTTTGTCGCCTGCTGCGCAAGCACAAGGACCCGAGTTCGATCCCCAATACCCAAAAAAAAAGATTACATTCATCATGGGCAGTTGATATATGTACGTGACACATCATAATCCTTTTTATGTCCTGTTTCTGTCTTCTCCCTCCCTCCTTCATCTCTCAGTGGCACCACATTTAACCTGTGGTCCATTTTGAGTTAATTTTTGTACAATATCCTTTTTTTTTTCATACTGGGGATTGAACTTGGGACCTTGCGTTTCCCTGTACAATGTGCATGTTATAAGTCAAAGTTCTTATTTCTGCACAAGGGTGTTGACTGTTCCAGAACTATTGGTTGAGAAGATCACCCTTTTTCTGTTCAGTGATCTCTGAACCTTTTCAAAACTTAATTGGCTATATCCATGTAGGTCTATTTCTGGATCATGTGTTCTTAGTATATCCATAGGTTCCATGTGCTGGTATTTGTTGAGGGTTTTTGTGTCTCTGTTCATGGTGGTTACTGGTCTGTGGCTTCCTTGTGTGTTTGGTTTTGTGTGGTTTTTTTTTTTTTGGTACCGGGGATCGAACTCGGGACCTTGCGCTTGCGAGGCAGGCGCCGGAACCACTGAGCTAAACCCCCGGCCCATGCGTTTGACTTTATATCAGGATGATGCTGGCCTCTTCAGGCAAGTCGAGTGCCTTTCCTCTTCACTACTTGAAGGTATTTTTAGAGTCAGTGTTGTTTCTTCCCTTAGTGCTCGCTACATTCACCAGGGAGGCCTCCACTTACAGTGAAGAAACAGCTGCCACAGAGAAGAAATGTCCCCTGATGCTCCTGAAGGGCTGAAGGGGACGAGATGATGCAGGGCTCCATCTGGATGGAGGCAGAGAGGCCTTGGAGCTTCTTCTAATGGGCTGTGGTTCCTCAGGTGCTTTCTCTGGATACAAACATCTCAAACCAGGTGAATAAGCTGAACCGAGACTTGCTTCGCCTGGTGGATGTGGGCGAGTTCTCTGAGGAGGCCCAGTTCAGAGACCCCTGCCGCTCCTATGTCCTCCCAGAGGTGATCTGCTGCAATTGTAACTTCTGCCGTGACCTGGACCTGTGCAAAGACTCCTCCTTCTCCCAGGTATGTTCACAGCTGGAAGTACTGGACACCCAGGCAACCGGGTCAGCCTTCACAGCCTGCAGCTCCTGCTGCTCCTGCTCTCTTGTGGAGCCCTGCTAGGCTGCTGGCCTGGAAGTCGGCAGGTGGCAGCCGGCTGTGTGGATTGTGGTGTGTGCTCCAGCAGCCCTCTGGGCCTGACTGGTGGGACTGCTGCCAGCCATGGTGCTGCCTGGGTCTTCTGTGGCCACCGCTCACCCCTCTCCCTCCTCTCCTAGGATGGGGCTGTCCTGCCACAGTGGATCTGCTCCAACTGTCAGGCTGCCTACGACTCAGCTACCATTGAGGCCGCCCTGGTAGAAGCCCTGCAGAGGAAGCTGATGGCCTTCACGCTGCAGGACCTGGTGAGGCCCTGCTGTTGGCCAGGGGTTGCTGGATAGGTGATGGACACTCTGGGGAAACGGAATATGTGTGGGTCCCACATTGCCTCCAAGGAGGACAGCCCCCACCAACGTATTGTCAGTGCCCTTTGGTACCAGCCACAGCCAGTGCTGGCTGCTGGCACTTGTGTCCCAGTGGAGGATGAGAAATAGTCAGTGCATTAATCAGCATGCATGAGCAGCAGTAGAAGGGGAGCTTGGCAGTGCTCCCTGACCACAGCAGGTATCGTGGAAGACATCTGAGCAACCTGCCTGGGTGGTGTCATGGGTGAATAGAGCCAGCGGGGCCTAGAGGAAACCCTGAGATGTGAGCTCTGGGGGAGGGCCCCCCCAGCAAGGCAGGTGGTGTTGGGAGGCTGAGAGGCTTGGGTGAAGTCTCGAGTTGTACCCATAACCGAGGCCTGGCGTGGTATTGCACACCAGCCTAGCTTGCCAGGGCAGGCCAAGGGCACCGTGCTCATGGGCTGCCTCCATTGCAGGTCTGCCAGAAGTGTGGTGGCGTGAAGGAGACCCACATGCCTGTATACTGCAGCTGTGCAGGGGACTTTGCCCTCACCATCCACACCCAGGTGGGCTGCACTCCCGGCCCATTACTTCCTCCCCTCTCTGGGTGACACTGATGTTCTGCATCTCTCTTCCTCCAGATCTTCATGGACCAGATCAGCATCTTCCAGAACATTGCCCAGCACTATGACATGTCATACCTCATGGAGACCCTGGAGTGGCTGCTGCAGAAGGGCCCTCAGGTGGGCCCTTAGTGAGCGCACCGGGTACCACGTCTCCCAGCTCTCCACACTCCCAAGGACAGGATGACCAGGGAGGGCCCCGAACGGGCAGCAGCAGAAGTGGCCTGGCCCTGGTGGTGGCCTGAGCAGGTCCTCCACTGAGAAGGCCTCGGGGTCCTGAGGGTCATTTTCCATGGAATGAACCTGTTCGGAGGGCTCCTGCACCAGCTAGGTGGGGTGGGAAAGCCCCCTGAGACACACACCTAATCCAGCTGTTCCTCTGCCCCTGAGGCTGCTGACCACCCGCAGGGCAGGGCTGAGGGGGGTGGAGATTGGGCACTGGGCAGAGGTACACACAAGATGAGGAGGGTTCCCAGGCTGGAGCCTCCCGTGTTCTGTGGAGAGGCGCCCCCTGCAGCCTGTGGGAGTGGGATCTGAGCTGGTTTCTGGGGATCCCAGACCTTACCCTGTAGAACTGGGATGCTTACTCCTTACAGACTTCCCGTTCAGAACAGGCAGGAGGGGGTGTCCGTGTCATCACTGTCCCAGCACTGCAGAGGCCCCTACCTCTTTCTCCTGAGACGATGGCAGGGGCAGCTGACCCCAGCTCACCCATGTTCCTCTTTCATGTCAAGGCACAGGCTAGTGTAGCAAGGCAGGGCCTCCTAGGAAAGCAGAGACCCCACAGGCTCCCAGGAGGCTCAGGTCACCTTGTCCTTGCTATCTGATATCACTCGCTGTACTTCTCACTTAAATCTTACACTTCTACCTTTCTTTAGATTGCTGCTGTGTGTTTGTGTGAGCTCGGAAGGCAACTAGCTTGGTATCTAGCCTCAGCCTGTCAGTCTCCATCCGTCAGTCTGGGGAGAAACTTGACACTGCCTGGACCTGCCGGCCTGGACTGTGGGCCAGGCCTGAGCTATGCTGAGACCTCCGGAGTGGAGATCTAATCAAATTAGGGCCAGTGAGTTAGAGGAAGGAGAGGCGGGGTAACTAGGCTTCCTGGAAGCCGAGCTGGAGGTGGTTGAGTTTGAGTGGTGTGATTGGGCCAGGAACATCTGTGTCCCTCAGCAGAGCCACCCTGCAGCAGGACGGGGCTGTCCCAGTGCTCAGTGAGAAACCTGAGCCGCCAGCCAGGGCCTCAAGTGGAAAGGCTCATTTCTCTAGATGTCTCGCAAACCAAGCCAAGAATGTCGCAGGTGTTTGGAGGCCTGTGTGGGACCTAACCAAGGAAGGGAGGGTCTTTGTGAGGGTTGGGAGATAGTGTCCCTCCAAAGCACCCACACCCATCACTGGGGCTTGGAACTCGTAGCAGGGACTTTCCAGACTTGGCTTGGGCACACAGACCGGGTCTCTTCCCAGCTCCTGGGTCTTGGGATGAGGTAGCACTCAGACCCAGTGCAGGTAGACAGTGTTGTCTGGTACTGCACACACATGCATGGCATGACGAGGTGCCCTGTACTCTGCCCTTGGCTGGCAAGGGAGGTCACCCAGCCAAGGGACAATGCAGCCAGCAGCACCTTGGATAGGGATGGCTGTCCCATATGGGTCGCTTGGGCTCACTGGTTTCCCCCAAGAATGAGGCCAGGGGCTTTCCAGCTCACTTTTATTGGGTTCAGCATGCTGTGGCTTCCAAGGGAAGGGTTTGGGCAAAGTTAAAAGGTTGTTGAGGTGGAGGTGGGGGGAAGCCCCTCAGAACTCAGCTGTGATGTAGTATCACCCAGGGTGTGTCAGGAGGACTTGAGTTGGCAGGGACCTGCCTGCCCTTGCAGACCTCGGCTGAGGGAAGGGTTCCCTCTGTTCAGGGCTCCCACCCCTGGCCTCCAGGGGCATCAAGATATGGCTATAGGGTGTGCCAGAGCAGCCAGGCAGGAACTTTGGGGCCCAGGTCTGCAGCACAGTCAGGACCGGAAGCTCAGAGCTGGGCCAAACCTTTGGGGTCCGTGGGTGTGGAGTCCTGATGGGGAGACTCAGAGGTGGGGAGCCCTTGTCCTGTATGTTGATCAGGGGCGTCCACTATCTGCTCAGACAGGGCAGAGATAAGGTGGGGCCCCTGCTGGCCAGGTGGGGGCAAGGTGCGGAGTCCTGGGAGCAGTAACTAGGTGGGGGAGGGGCCTGGCCCAAAACAAGGCCAAGTGTCCCCAGCCAGCTGCTTGCAGGCTGACGTGGCGTACACACCTTGTCAAATTTCTTATGGCTGTAGACCTTGTTTTTGTTCATGAATGTTAGCAAGATCCAGTCGCACAGGAAGGAGCCCTGAGGCCGGTGGAGACCAGTGGGTAAGGGGCCTGCACCCCCAGCCCCGCCCAGTCCCCAAGTGGGTTCCTTACCACCCCGATGGAGGTCAGAGCAGTGGCCAGGTTGATGATGGTGGGAATCAGACTGAACTTTCCTGCCTGGGGAGGAAGGGGCTTGCTCTGAGACCTGCAGTAGCTGCCTGGGGTGGCAGGGTCTCAGGGAGGTGGGACCTGCACACCATTACCTGACCATGCACGATGACATCGATGCGAATCCCATAGGCCTTAATGAGCGTGCGGGTGGTGGTGCTGTTCGTGTTGTAGTACTTGGCAAACCTGGGGTGGAGCAAGCCCTTGCCCAAGCTGTGCAGTGGGAAACGCTACTGTTTGCCCATTCTCTCCCCCTCCGGGCACCCTGGGATAGTACCTGAAGTTGTAGCCGGTGGAGGCAGGGATGTGCTTGGGGTCGAGCCTCCGGAAGGAGTACTTGGGGTTGCACTGGGACGCAGGCAGGTCCAAGTCACAGTCCCAGTTGATGATGACCCCGAGGACGCCGCCCTGCAGGGAGGAGGGGCTGGGAGAGGGGTCGGCCCAGGAGCGCATGCCAGGAAGAGGCAAGGCCCTGTGGCAGTAGGGCTGCCGGGACAGGAGGATGTCTGGGCTGCGGCAGAGCCTCCTCACCCTGTGTGCCAGCTCTGTGAAGTTTTCCCCCGCCTGCTCCACTATGAAGCCCAGCCGGAAGATGGGGCAGTAGGGGTTGGAACCCTGGTCAAAGGTGCAGCGCTTCAGGTAGTCATCCTCCCGGTGCGCAATGTTGCCCCTAAGGGTGGCAGAGGCCTGGAACCCCCACTCCCTGCAGGTTGCCCGAACCAGTCGTCCCAAGCCCTGCTGGCTCTTACTTGGAAAACTGGAACTTGGGGTAGTGAATGCTGTTCTTGATGAGGATGGTGAAGTTTGGGGCCATTTTACCCAGGAAGTGGCTGAGGAGGCAGGACTGTGAGTCCCCTTCCCTGGATCCTCAGCAGGGCCCCTCCCTGTTCCCACACTGGCCCTCTGGCCGAGAGGAGGGAGGTGCACACCTGGCTGAGGCCCCGTCCTCCACCGGGCACCAGCCGGACACCTCACAGGTCTTGGTGGCCCCATGGTAGTAGGGCACGCAGCGCCCTGTCCGTGCCCCTGCAGACCAGACACTGGCTCAGCCCCGCCCAGCCACGACCCGGCCCACCGCCCACTGCATCCACTGACCATTGCCCAGCATCTCCAGCTCCCCAGGTGTGCAGTCAGCATCCGAGTGGCAGGTGGCATTGGGGACCCTTATGCTCTAGGGTGGAGACAGAGTCAGAAACGCACCCTACCAGTGGCTAGGCTCCCTGGTGCCCTCCACCACCCTCACCTCTGGGCAGGCACCCAGGGCCTGGAAAGGGGTGACCTCAATCCTGGTGATGATGCTGAACACGCTGCCCCCCTGGACAGAGAGAGGAGTGGTGGGCCAGGCAGCTCAGCCTGGGCTCTAGGGCAAGGTGTGGGGCTTGGGGCAGGGCGCACCTCAGGGGGCTTCACGTATTCCTCCACATCCCACACTTTGTGCTCAGACTCTGTGATCCCCTTAACCTTGGTGATGACGGAGCTCTCGGGGCCTGTCTCGCTGTCCTGGTAGCTCTTCTGCACGATGAACACGTACCTGCAGGGTGGGGCCCGGCTCCGGACACAACCACAACTCCTGCCTCCTGTGTGTTGTCCCTGGAGCCCCCTCCCCATCCTGGCATTCCTTCTTCAGCCCGGCTCCCCCGCCCAGCCCAGCCCAGCCCAGCCCAGCCCAGCTCAGCCCAGCCCAGCTCAGCCCAGCTCAGCCCAGCTCACTCCAGCTCAGCCCAGCTCAGCCCAGCTCACTCCAGCTCACCCCTTCCCCAAACCCTGCCCAGTCCGCAGCCCATCCACAACCTGCGCACCACACAAAGTAGAGCAGGATGAGCAGCTGCACCGTGCGGTACACGACCCCCAGGCGCCGGTTGCGCACCACGATCACTTTGGGCGTCTCGTAGTCCCAGAACGCAGACCAGCACCCCCAGGCCAGGCGCCAAGCTGTGGGGGCCTTGGGGTAGGCAGCAGCCATGGCGCCCTGAGCCCCACTCCTGCTGCGGCGCTGCAGGTGCCCGAGGCGGGAGGACTGGAGCTTGGGAGGGGACTGCGAGGCCAGGAGGGAGGAGCGGTGTGGGGTGGGGCCGGGACCTGGCTGGCTTGAGGCTGAGGCAGCAACCACAGGCCCGTACTGGAAGGCCCAGGCCTCTGCTCTGCATCCACTTTCCACCCTGCCCCCAACTGGGGGTAGAACCCAGGGCCTTTGCAGTGAGCTGCGTTCTCAGCCCTTTTTAACTTTTTAGTTCTGAACATGTTTTCACCAAGTTGCTACATTGTTAAGGTTGTATTTAAATTGAAGATCCTGCCTCAGCCTCTTATGAGTGCTGGCACTATGGATGTGTACACCATATCTGGTGCCGATCTTTTTTCCCTTGTACAAAGAGTTTGTTTTGTTTTTGTAACTTTAGTATCCCAACACCACCTGCATTATTCTGAAGTAAATCCAAAACATAGTATTTCACAAAATAATATTTTACGCTCTTACAGTGAGGAAAGCCACATAATGACCAAACATCTTGTCAAATGAGGTCCAAGCTCTCCCCCCTAAGAAGAGAGGGTGACCTCAGATTACCCCACCCAGGGAGTAGGCTGTAGGTTCAGTAATTTATGTCACAGGAAAAGAATTTCAGGCTGCATCCATGAAAAGCACAGCAGACTTATTTAGGAAGAAAGGACACGCTCAAGAGGTGCCGTTCAAGGCACAGTGTGTGAGAGGCCATTGCCTCGGGGTGAAAGAATAGAAAGTGAAGGGCGCAGAGTCCAAGAGAGGACTTGGAGGCTGAGATTTCTGTAAGGACTTGACATACGTGGAGAGGGTGAGGGGTGAGCCTGATAAGCATGAGGAAGGCCATCTACAGGTTGGCTGCCTCTGCCCCTCTCCCGGCAGCCTGTGCGATGTTGGTAGGCCACATTCCAGGAGCCCATCTGACAGGTCCACAACGATGGTCCTCAGGGAAGGCTCAATAAGGACCCCTTGGTGCATCAACTCCGAGAAGGGGGTCACAGGCTCTGGGGTAGAAATCTGCTTTCCGTGTCCAAGGTATGAGTGTTAACGTTTACATGTAGCTTGCCCTCTGCAGAATGTCATGCTTGCTTGGTATTTGCATGGTGGCCCCGAGAAGCCTGATGGGGCAAGAGTTTTCACTGTTCATTTGCTGAAGATTAACTCGGTTTCTGCCTGTGCTGCTTCTACAGAAGGGAGTGTGGGTGCTCACAGGATGAGGTGCTCCACAGCCTGGACCGAGGTTTCCGTGTGGTCTGGGGTGTCCCCAGGCTAGGTGACCTAGCACATATATTCTTACCTCTGCTCCTTACACCTTCAGTAGCCTAGCTGGAATCCAGCCCATTTGCCTTTGTTTGGCATTTGGGGATGTGCTGCCCACTTAGTGGTGTTCTTGGGCTTGGAGTCTGTGGGGTTTGTAGTATGGAGATCTTCAACGGCCAGGTGAGAAGAGTGGGCCTAGCTGACAGATACATTGTATCTGCAGCGTTCTTAGGAGTGTTTTATTGAGTTTCTTGGAAAGGAAAAGGGGATTATAACTTGGCTAACTTTGTGTCCTGAAGTTGCAGTTTCCTTAAAAGCACAATTTTTTCAGCACCGGGGACTGAACTCAGAACCTTGTGCTTTTGAGACAGGCACGGTGCCACTGAGCTAAATCCCTGGCCCTAAAAAGTACAATTTTTAATTACAAGTTTCTTTGTCTCTTTTCTACCTATATTTATTTCTCCTATCCTGCCTCAGTTTTCAAGTCAACACTGACATGGGCCAGGCATTTAGCTCAGTGGTTCTGCCACCTGCCTCACAAGCGCAAGGTCCAGAATTCAATCCCCGGGACCAAAAGAAAAAAAAACACGGACAGTGAATTCATGACATTGTGCATTCGCTTCCAAAACATTCTCCCCACCCCAAATAAAACCCCTAAACCATTGGTCATTCCTTGTTCCCCTCTCTGCCAGTGACGGATCTGCTTTCATCCCCACAGGTTTTTCAGTTTTGGATATTTCATGTCTGGCTACTGGTTTTGTTCATTGAGCACAGCAGTTTTTGGTTTTTTTGGTATCGGGGATCGAATGCGGGACCTTGTGCTTTCCAGGCAGGCAGTGGCACCACTGAGTTAAATCCCTGGTCAGCATAGCCTTTTCAAGCATCACCCACATGGTAGCATCTGTCAGTACTTCACTCTTTCTTTGACAGAGAGAGGTTCTCACTGTGTAGTTCAGTCTGGCCTTGAACTCAGAGCAATCCTCCTGCCTCAACCTCCCAAATACTGAGATTATAGGTATGTGCCACCATGCCTGCTTCGTAATGGAATTTTCTAAACGTATATCAAGGTATATCCATATAATGGAATTGTTTTAACCATTAGAAGGAGTGAAAACCAGCTGTGGTAACCTGTAATCTCAGCACTTGGCAGGCTGAGGCAGGAGGAATACTGTGAGTTTGAGGCCAGCCTGGGCTATATAGTGAGTTCAAGGCCACCTGAACTACGTGGTGACACTCTCAAAAAAAAAAAAAGAAAGAGGGCTGGGGATTTAGCTCAGTGGTGCTGCTGCCTGCCTTGCAAGTGCAAGGTCCCGAGTTTTATCCCCAGTACCAAAAATGAGAGAGTGAAAAGAAACTTCCATGATATGGCTGTATCTCGATGGGCAGGCTATTCCTATCTTTTGGCAATGGTGGGCAGTGCTACTGTGAATGCAGCGCCTTTGTGTTAGTCTGAGTTCACATTAACTTAAGGGGGCCTGCGGGTACCTCTCCACTGGAGTTCCAGCAGCCACCTACACCCGAGAACATGAGTGAACCCTGGTTTGGCAGAAGACAGTGACACATGCTGGTCCCTCTCAATCTCAGCAGCTGGCTTCAGCCATCACAGGCTGCTGATTGATCCCGCGGTTCAAGGGACAGACACTAGGCTATGCCCCACCTGCCTGCCATGCTGTCTCCCTCCCTGTTTCCATCAGTGCAGAAATGTCTCCCTGCTCACGTGGCAGGGACGGGGCTCTGACCTCTCCTGATGCACGAGTGCTTTGCTCTGTTAAACTCAAATTTAATTTGCTCAAAGTTTTTCTAACAGAATACATTTTCAGTTATTTCAGGCACACACCTGGAGTGGAGCTAACAGGTCACAAGGTAAAACTATGCTTCACTTTTTGAGAATGCACTGCTGTTTTCTAAGTGGCTGAGCTAATTTCTGTTCCCACCAGCCATGTCCAAGTGTCCCAGCTTCTACCCATCTCTGCCAATGCGGGCGCTTCCTACTGCTTGGTTCCCTTCGGGTTTAATTCCTGGATTGATGCCTGTAAATTGAGTATGACAAGTAGCTTTATTGCTAGTATTTAGAACCCTTAGGAAATGACTACTTTTCAGAGATGTCTTCCAGGTGTAGCTGGCTTTTGGGTTTTGAGTCTGTTGCAAGATCCCACCCCTTTGATATATTGGGAACCAGAAGTTGCTGCCTACCTAGCCTAGCCTCTGGTTCTTTGGCACCAACCTATAGTATAGTTTATGACCCTTAGGCAATGTCAGTCATGGCACACCAGGAAGATTAGAACAATTATGTCACCTTGGCTAAAGTACCAATCCCTCAGCAATAACAATAGCATCAGGGCCAGGGATTTTATTTTATTTTATTTTATTTTATTTAAGAAAAATGCTTTTCCTTTAGAAATGCCTCA